CCCCCCCCCCCCCCCCCCCCCACCTCCGGACGATATTCACATTCTCATTCCTGCCCTGATTCAGATAATAAGAGCGATGTTGAACACGGGACGATCCCCGATCTCCTGTCAGTACTTGCGCGCGAGGGTCTGGATACCGACAGATACTTGTAGTAACATTTGCTTCCCTTTCCTCTTCTTGCGGCATCTCCCATCAAAATGCCAGACGAAGTTTTGTCAAGTCTTCTACATGGTTCAAGTTGCTGCCGTGCGGTAACATTAGAAACATTTCATTAGAAACAAAGAGAAACGCCGTTCGTTAAGCCCGCAAAAATAATAACAGACATGACCATGTAGATACATGCATGCTTGACTGAGACAAGTGCCCGGTTTCAGATAGAGGGAACGTGGGGGGCACATGCGTACCTTATATACAGGAGGGTCCTCAATAACGCCAGTATGTGCCCTATGCATCGACTGGCGCTATTCGGAGGGACCGGCGCTATTCAATGTACAAAATGACTTGGTGATTCTGTGCCCAGCATTTTCACCGGCGGCGCTTTGCAGGACCACCGGCGCTAATCAACCCGCGTTATTGACGCCCCCCCATTGTACCAACATTCCGCGCCGAAAAAAGTGCCATTTGGAACCTTAGCACTTTGAGTACCATGTGCACGACTACGCACAATATGGTAGTAAAGTAGCCACAAATTGGACGAAAACTCGGCCAACGTGTCCGCCGACATCACGTGGTGCTACAAGTAACAACGCGCTTGCTCAGTGACCAGAAGTTTTCATAACTAAACGAGTGGCAGGTGTACAACAAAATTGTCAAACTCTCAAGTAATGATGGAATAGGTGCAGGTACGGGAACCCTCCGACGTGTAAATCGCATGCCTCGCGGGGGATGTATGGCTCCGGAAGCAGAAATAGCTCCGGCGCCTGCAAGGTTTTGAATAACAAAAGAAGCAAGCAGGCAAAAGAAACGTCAGAATCCCGATGAGTGAATGAACATGCGGGGGCATCCAAACACCACCACAATGAGGTAGAACCTAGCGGCAGGACCGCTGGCTGAAAGTCTTGAAAGTTCAAAACATGTGTAATTCGGGACAATGCACACGTAAGTACCTGTGGGGCTATGTTGAGATCCATGAAGTCGTAGGTCACCAGAGGCACTGCTGTAGTATCCTCGCGCACAGTCTCTTCTGTTAGCCGCCTAGGAGCTACGATGGGCACGCGCGGGTATGTGAATGAGCTGTAGCAACCCCACCTACACATCATGTTCAGCGAAGATGGATGACCTACATGTAGTATCCTGAACTTCCACACGAATTTATTAATACGTGTATCTTGTGTTTCCACCTTGCATCGTTCGTATGTGAACCAACCCATGAGAGAAGTTTCATATTCACCTTGTGTGGCGCTGTCGATGTAAATGTGCACCCGTGACACCCCATCGTCCTGAACCCAGTGTTCGCACATTAACCCTTCCAGCACCTGCATATCCTGAAGCAACATATGCATGCACGTTTTCGCAGCCATGGGTCTGAAATGAGGTTTTGGGTGTCACAGACAAAATGCCCCCAGGATGCCCCCAGGATGCGTTCGTCCACGAAAAAAACGGCACGGAGTCAGCGTCAAATCGCTTAACACAAATCCTGCCAAATGTCGATTCTAGAGGATTATTTCTTGACTCCAGCCGTACAATCGGCATTGGGACTTATCATTCGCAATGGACACCACACGAACGACCGACGAAAGCACTGCAACTTAAACAAAAACGAGTAAATATGTTGAACAGAAAATTTGTGCAACTGGCGCATTAGCTGCGAGTCCGTGCATTCTGCCCCCCTCTCCAACCTTCGATGATGGAAATGTACTCATTGATCCCGCACGCCAAACTAACCAGATTTTCGTTCACGTTCCATGGGTCGATTCTACACGCAAGCTCCATCTCTCGGAAACGTCGTTTCCTGCGTGCAATCCACACGTCGTAGTATAGGTCTTTGGAATACGGATCGAAAATGACGGTAAAAGGTAAAAGACATTCCGGTGAGTGAGACAGACAGAGGAACACACCCAAAGAGAGAGAGGGCTGACTAATAGTCTCGTGCATGCCGTAGTCGTTTGACCATTGACCTCGCATCCCTGCAAAGCCGGGACGGAGCACGCCGGGTTCTCACCGGACCAGGCTCTCACATCACGAAGCGCCGTGAGGTATTCGGCGAGTCGCATGGAGGGTGCGCTGCATCCTGCTAAGGGTGTTCGGCATCTTGTGCTTACTTCCTTGCAACGGATGGCAGCTGCGAATGACTCACTTTATTTTCTGGCGCTTCCACTTCCAGAGACAGTAGTAAGCACTGTGTAACTGCCTCAAGGGTGAACATAACGTGGTGTGATCATCAGGGGGGTGTACTCATAGTCGTGCATGCCGTAGTCGTTAGACCATTGACCTCGCATCCCTACAAAGCCGGGACGGAGCACGCCGGGTTCTCACCGGACCAGGCTCTCACATCACCAAGCACGAAGCGCCGTGAGGTATTTGGCGAGTCGCATGAAGGGTGAGCTGCATCCTGCTAAGGGTCTTCGGCATCTTGTGCTTACTTCCTTTGCGTACGGATGACAGCTGCGTATGACTTAATTTATTTTCTGGTGCTTTCACTTCCAGAGACAGTTGTAAGCACTGTGTAACTGCCTCGAGGATGCTTGACCATTTTAACACAACGTGGTGCGATCATCCCCCTTGTGCGGAGTGAGGGCTCTCCACCCCGCACAACATGATCTACTCGACCACCATTCATGGTTACCGCAAAAAAAAAAAACAGAGGTAAAGAAAAAAAAAAGCGGTAACCTGGTTGCCGACTTCACGAAGTGAATTGGCTTGTTTTACAACGTCGTTGCCAAGCGACGAAAACCCAATCCCGATGGCAAACACCGAGGGGGCGGCTTGTTTTACAACGTCGTTGCCAAGCGACGAAAACCCAACCCCGATGACAAACACCGGGGGGGGCGCGTAGTACTGATTGTGGAGTACAGTATGTGCGGTACATTTGAAATACCCTCACCTTGAACGATGCAGTTCGAGGGAGCTCAGGCGTTGGCATTTCTTCTCCTGATATCGACATGGCGGAAGAATCAGACGACCAGAGCATCCGTGGCAAAGTGGTGGTAAGCACACGGCATGTATTGCGGAGAAAATTACAAGTGTTCCTTCCGCAGCCGTCACACTTACTGTGTGAAAAAGTTAACCCTCTATTGATAGCATTATTTGTTTTGAAACAATATGCACGTTGTTGGCGTTGGTTGCAATACCTTTCGCGGACCGTACCCATGCTCGTTTCTGTGTGAAACGTTTTTCAGATACACGCCGCGTGGTGTGTTGGCGGCAAACATTTAGGTAAGACAAGGTTGTTTGCAGAAACGAAAACAACCGAGCGAACGTGTAATATCGTGCGACTTCGGCCAACGATTAAACAGAGCCTTCAGCTTCGAGTTGGTGGCAAGATGTCATCTATGGAGGAAACAGAGGTGCAAGCATCGCAATTGCTCGGCGCCGAATCTGTGCCGAGCTCTGCGCCGAGCTGTTCGGAGACAAATTATTGTAAAAGTAAGTGTCTTTGCCTACTACGTATGCACGGAAAACAAACGTCACGTTCGGCTGGCTTTGGATCGCTTCCGTGGCCTTCTGACCCCTCTGTGGCTTGTGCAGCTTCTTCTCGCAGGCTAGACATGATACTGCACACACAAACAAATCTGCAGAGGGAACGCACGAAGAAAGAAAGCAGCATCATGACGCTTCTGCTTGCTGGTGCTTATATCTGCGTCCCTCGCATCCATCACCAACAAGAAGTACTCACAAGAGTCGTGGGTGCAATCTACATCCCAGGTAGTACATATATTTACCTATTTTTACCACCCGCAGAGTTTGTTGTTGCTGTTGTGCAAGGGCGCCCGAAAAAAAGTTATCCGACACGTACGTACAAGTACCCATTTCCTTATTTGGAAGGTTTTCGGGGGGGGGCAGGGCAACGGTAGTCTAATTCCTATAATAAAGCAAAGGGGTCCCGCGATGGGGAACCCATTTTAATCTTTCTTTGGGTACCCTACGCGCGAGCTAGGATCCTCTCTTCTTGCGAACACCGGACCCATGATCACACAAATCAGGTACGTACGTAACACATCAAGAGCGTATATCTAACTATTTAGTGGAACACGATGTGTCCCCCATATATATATGCAGCTTGCGTGAAGTGGGCTCTTAAGCCCCATGAGAAGCTAGGTGTGCGGGATTACTCTTTTCGGGCACCCTTGTTTGTTTGCAGGTGTATTTACTACCACTCGTTTCTCTCTTTCATGTGGGCTGGAACCCACTGTCCCCGCGGGACCTGTTGCTGCAGAGTATTTTGTTATTATGTCCAACCAGATGATGACGAGAGTTATTATTATCGCATTAACTGGCGTCCGAGTAACACACCGAGGTATCATCATCTCTTCCCTGTTGCTCAAAGCTCTCTCATCCGTCCATTTGTCTCGAGGAAGGAAAAAAAATTACCACTGTATATTCTACACGCGCGTGCTCGTGTTGTCCTTTGCTTCGCAGCGACTCTGCTGCTGTGCTGCCCGCAGCTTTTCCGCAACCGAACCAAACCATCTAGAAGTGGTCTAGACATCAAATAAATTTAGACCAGTCTACAGAGCACCGTGACAAGACTACGTACAAAAATCACCAGCCGTAAGGCATGGCACATTTTTTGCTCACCTAGGTAGCTTCTTCTGCAAGCCGGATACTCTCCATCGCGAATCATGTATTCCCTCTTCGACCCATACAAACGAAGGAATGTTTTCCCGGCATTGAGGCCTTTGGTCACCACAACCTTCGCCCGCCCAGCTGCTCTGTCATAAGCAACGTCCATCTCGCGTATCCAAGGAGGATACCCCTTAGCCCGATCTACCATGTGCGATGTGACTTGCACGCGCGCGCTGAAGTGCTGCGGGAAGTGCGATATAATAAGCCCTGCGTCCATCAACAGACGATGCGGCGGGTGAGAATCTTTGCGGCCTCATGTGTTTCGGGATCCGGGTCTGTCATTCGGTGCACGGTGACGACACTTACCAGCCGCGTCGCTGTACCACCCCCGAGACGTCAGACCAACAATATATCCAAGTGCTTGTATCCATCGCATTTTTGTTTTGCAGGCCAGTTTGCAGAATGTACACGCAGGGGCGCCACAAAAGTAGCCATCAGCAGACCACCAGCAGTGGGGATGATCGCAGGGTTTCGTGGTGGACACGGTGGCGTATTTCTCATCCCGTAGAAAAGCCGAAACGGCCGCAGGACCCCACGTACCGACATACCGACGTACCGACGTTGACGAGAGCGCGAACACAAGAACTCATGCGACCACGATATAGTGGCACATACCATACCGGGAAGTACGCCAATCGATTTCCGCTCTCCCTTCTACCAGAGCGGCGAGAGGTTATTGGCAACGAGGCACACCAATCGACCGCTACTCTCCCTTCTACCAGGAGAGCGGCGAGGCTACTACTACTGTAATCGCAACGATACTGTTAATTGGCAGACGTGGACACGGGAGGGGGTCTCCATCATCAGCCCGTGCCAGGAAAGTTGACAACGATAACCTGTTAATTGGACACGGGAGTGGGATCTCCATCATCAGCCCGTGCCTGGAACGTTGTCCAAAATGAGCGACAACGACGCGTTTATGGAAGATTATGGGGACTCATTGAACGACGCGGGCGATCCTTACGAAACAAAAACCACCCGAAACGCAGCAGAGGCGCTGGACGCGTCCCTGCAAGCACCCAATGCAAACGACTTCTCGAATGCTCGCCTTATCGAGGAGGTGAGGACGAATGACTTCAGTTACCGTAGCAGGACAACGCTGTGCAGGTACCACGACCGTGGTTTGCGGCTACAGCAGTAGCGGAACTGCAACACGTAGTCTACAAATAATTGCTCCGATCACGCATGACAAGCAAAAATTACACTCTGATGTAGTCACTTTTAGGTCTAACCGATGTTGAACCTAGAGTTCCTCACATGGAATGTGTCACAAACCGTGGCCAACCCAACCGTAACCCTCACCCACGGCCATCGCACGGCCAAGCAGCCGCGAACTGGGCGAGCACGCGGCTGCGCCGCTTTCTCGGAGCGCGGGGAGAGGGCGCTGGAGAGGAACGGACCGTTAGAACCAACGCCAAACAAAGCCCGACCAACCATAAGGCGTTTGTCCTAAAGAGACATGTAGCAATGTGTTAACACTACTAACATCACGTAAAGGTCAAGTGTTTTCAACCGCCACTGAACACTACAACGGGCTCGTAATTTACTGTATTGTTTGTGTGCCCACATGGTGCATGCATTCCCTACAACAGCTAGAGAACAGGAACTCGCGAGTAAGTGGATTTCGAGATCAAGATGTGGTCACTCTTCAAAAAATCCTGGACGCAGAATTCGAGCTGGAAAAGGAAAGCATTATCAAACACCAGCGAGAGAAGAGAGAACAAGCCGCCAAGCAAGCTGGTCTGCAACGGAAGCGAATGATGCTAGAGAGGCAGCTACGAGAAGAGATATCTGAGATTGGAAAAGACCAAAGAATTGAGTTTTGGCTGAACCTGGTGAGTTTCGTGTTCGCACATGAGATTTACTTGTAGCAACGCCGTGTCAAGGTCATTTGAACGTTTTGGCTGGAAAGCGGTTCGTTTGGAGGATGAAAACTTTGCCGGCGTCGCGCCCTGCCGTATCAGTTTTACGCGCAACTCTTAGTCAGCTTTCACCCCCCTCCCTGCCTAACACGTGCTCAGGTAAAACAAAACGCCACGCCACCTACAGCTCGGATAGACGTCAACTCCGTCACTGCTCGAGCTCTTGCCAAGTCGATGTGGACCAACACTTCACTTACCAGCCTGGACTTATCGCGCAACGGCATTGACGACGCGGCCGGTACATACGTTGCACGTTTGCTCAAGCGCAACACAGCCTTGGTGAACGTTGCGCTGGGGTCCAACCAGCTCGGAGTATTTGCATGCCGCGCTTTCGGCGAATCGCTCTGCTCAAACTCCACCCTCAAGTGTTTGAGCCTTGAGTCGAACTCCTTGACTAGCGATGGGGCAAACATGTCGGGGATACAAGCGCTTACGGACATGTTCAGCAAAAATAGCACCCTCACATCCGTCAATTTGTGGAGGTGTGCGCTTGGGGCAGAAGCGGGGGTGGCACTCTCTCGGGGCATGGAATCAAATCACACCATCACCTTCCTCGAGGTTGGGTTGAATGGTCTGGCGATGGCCGACCAGCACAAGGTGAAAACAGCATTGGAAAACAACTTCAAAAGATTTGAAGAATGCCAAGCAGTACGCCGACAAGAGCTGAGTATCGCGGATAAAATATTAGCAGAGGAGAAAGCCATGCAAGAGCAGCTGAGGGCTGAAAGGCAACTCCGCGAATGGCTTGAGGATCAAAAACAGCTGCGAGCCGAGGAACGTCGAAAGGCGGAAGAGAAAGGGTAAGCACTCACTACGATGCACATATCCGCATGTGGGATTCCATGAATAGCCATTCGATAGCGAAACGTGTCTGTTCCCTTTCATGTCTTCGTAACTATCAGACCAAGACGTTATGGACCCAGTCCCCTGAATATGCAAGCGAGACTTGAGCATCCATGCATTGTTCCACCATTCCAACGAGACAAACCAACCGCACACATCAATCATTCACATTCAGGTTTGCCCAGCAAGCCGCAATGGAGGCAGAGGCGGCTCGGCTCCTTCAAGAAAAGCTGGAAGCAGAGAAGAAGGCCGAGGCTGCCAAATCTTCGAAAAAGAAGAAGGGAAAAAAATAGTGCCCCACAGCCGGTAGCATAAGGCACGCGTCCTAAAATTCACCCGCTGAACGAATGATACCGCCCCGTCTCAACCTTCGCCCTGAATCCTACACAGCAAACGACACCCAACACCAGCACTTAAAAAATCAAGCACGTCCCTTGGGCGAACAAACAAAAGGGTGCAGACGAAAACTAGAAGTGGATAGGCTTGTCGTACGTTGCCATGCAAGCCTCTTTCAGCGCCTCACTGAGGGTAGGGTGGGCGTGGCACGTTCTGGCAATATCTTCGCTCGAAGCTCCGTACTCCATGGCAAGCACCACCTCCGCGATCATTTCGCCGGCGTTTGGCCCCAGAATGTGAGCGCCAAGAATACGGTCTGTCTCCTTATCGCTGAGGATTTTGACCATTCCATCTTTGTCGCCCACGCACGAGGCACGACTGTTGGCCGAGAACGGGAACGTTCCCTTGTTGTACGCCACCCCCGCCTCTTTTAACGCTTCCTCTGTCTTGCCCACCTGGGGAGCGACGAAAACGAAACACGGGATGGTTTGTGCTCGGCAAAATCTTTGCGGACGACACATGAAAAACCGATCACATCAAAAGATGTGTGATGTGTAGAGTGTGTACCTGCGTTTTTGGTAGTTGGCCTGTGACCACGGAAGGCAACCGCGTCAGTTGAGCCGGTACGGATACTAACAGGTACTGAGCAGCGACCAGAATGATTTTTAATGCCAAGGCAACAACAGCAGCAAAAAAAAACAGCCGAAACCAACACATCCAACATATCCCAAGATCCCGCGTACCTCTGCGACCTCCGGGTACGTGTAAACCACTCCAGGTATAGCGTCGTAGTTCACGTGCCCAGCGAAGCCTGCGATACCTTCCACGCACGCGATGCCCTCTTCCTCGGCCTTGTGTGCCAACATGGGACCCGAGATGCAGTCACCGATGGCAAACACTGAAGGCACTGCCGTGCGGAAGTGCGGGTCCACCTCGATACGGCCCATCTTATCGAGTGAGATGCCCAACTCGTCACAGCCCAGGTTGGCCGTGAACGGCCGCCGGCCGGTCGCGACGAGCACCACGTCCGCCTCCATGGTTGAAGACGCTCCTCCCTTCGAAGGTTCCATGGTGAGCTTGACACCTGATTCGGTCACCTCAGAAGACGTGACCTTCATTCAAAGGACGGTACGTATCAAGACTCAGGTGCCGACCTCTTTTCTGACGTATCTAGCAAGCAGGGTGCCCTTTGGACCATCATGCCCGAGGCAGGGCCGCACCCTGCGATTGATGCCAACGACGCGAACGTTGTACCAGTTTTTTCTGCATCAAACTGAAGAGAAAGCACAAAAGAAAACACCATGATATACCACACCATGTAAAAAAGTCCGTCCGTATCGCCTCTGAGTCGAAACAAGCAGAACGGACTCATGAACGAACTCATGAAAGTAGAACACATAGCACGCCTTGTTTGAAAGCTGTGTACCACTGCAACAACATTTCGGGGCTGAAGTGCGTGGGCCCGGACGTTTTTTTCCTCTTTCGAGAGTACACGTCGAAAACCACCAGTTCTCGCATCATCCGCGACCATTTCAGAAACGGCGCTGAACGCCTACCAGTACCGCGAGCGTATCACCAACCTTAGTTTTGAGTTTGAACTTGAGCCCCTGCTTCTTGAGAACACGTGTGAAGGCCTTGGTGATCTCGTGGTCCATTGAAGGACACACCCGGTCCAGGAACTCCACAACCGTAACCTTTGAGCCAAGCCGAGCCCAAACAGAGCCCATCTCCAGCCCGATCACGCCACCCCCAATCAGTACCAGGCTCTTGGGAACCTGTGCAACGAGTAGCGCGATGAACTATAATAGAACAATGAGCCGTAGCTGTGCTTGGGGCACGCGACGCTGCACTCGACAAGCATGATGGGCACAAGTTATGATGGTACCACGAGCTGATCTACAACATTTAGCTACCTCTTTGAGTTCCAGCGCGCCTGTCGAGTCCACAATCTTCTGCTGCGCGTTGTCTACGGGCACAGGAGGGAGAGGAGTCACTTCCGAACCAGTGGCGATGACAATGTTTCTCGTCTCCAAGGATTGCAGTCCACCCTCCGTCAGGTCCACATTCACGGTGTTCGGCCCACCAAGCTTGCCAAACCCTTTGATGTAGTCCACCTGAGGCAAGTTACAACGCGAGCCACGTCAAGTGCTGGGCGGACAAGCGTGGATGGAAGGAAGGAACGGGACTCCACAATATCAGTCTTGAGAGCGTTTTTTACAACACCGACCACAACGTGATCGCGTACCTTGTACTTTTTGCAGAGGTACTCGATTCCTCCAGTAAGCCCCTCGACTTTTGAGTCCTTGTTCTCCATCATCTTGCCAACATCCATGGAAACATCCCCCACGCTGATGCCATGAGAAGCCATATTGTGAGTTGCCTCGTGGTACAGGTGCGACGAATGCAGCAATGCCTGCCACAGGGGGGGGCGGGGGTAAGGGCCAAGGATGAGGCGTGAACCAGAAAAACGTTGCTAATCTGAACTCCTCAAAAGAAAGATAAACAATGATCTAAACATGCACGTTTGATGTTACCGTGTTCAATGTACCTGCCGATACACCTGCTGCTCACAGGCGCTTCAACAGTCCCAGCGAGACATGCATCGCGCGACACGACTTGCAACGCACACAGTCCGTGACAAGGATATCAGAAACTGAGGTGCCCTGCGCTTTTCTCGCATTGTATGTTAGCGCAGCCGTGGCACCTGTAGCTTCACAGATAAATACGGTGCTGTTACTCCAAGACCGCATAATACATGCCTACGACTTGCAGCTAAAACCGCTTTTTATGGCAGCACAATGTTGCAAAAAAAGCTGCTTTTCTGCAACTTTTCTTGCAGCTTTGCTAATGTACGTTCAGTATGGGAGCTAAAGGTTGCGCGAAAAGTTCTGCAACTTTTTTTCCGGAGCGAAAAGCTGCAATCTGGCCGAAAATTTTTGCAGCTGTTCTCGAGTCGGGAAGGTGCGAGAAAAGCTGCACGGCGAAAATTATACCGGTTCACGTCAAGCTGCTACTACCGCACACGTAGACCCTCTCCAGCATCGATTGTGGGAAGGCTGTGATCACCGATATCTCGACGAATACTTAACGAGTTGCCTCATGAATGGTATCTGGAAGGAGGTGATGCCATGGGCTGTTGGGAAATGCCAAGGTTTGGGGCCGTGAGGTGCTGAATGTGCCGGGAAAAAAAGTTTGTGCTGTGCACAACCGTCCACGGCCGCGAGCAGTTAGTTCGATGTTTTTGACCGTCACGGGTTTGGTTATCCACCGATAACTTTCCGAAGGAGGAAGCAACAGCAATACCAAGGCCGCTCGGTGGGAGGTAGCTCTCTGCTCCATCTGTCTTGGCCAAGGTTTGGTGCCGTGGGGTATCGTGCGCATCGGGAAAAGATCTACCCTGTACCCACGTCAGAGAGCGGTTGGTTGAAGTTCGTAGGGATTGTGTGCGCATGGTTTGGTTTTCCAGCGATAAATTTTCGAAGGAGAAGGCAACAGCAACAGCAATGCCACCCCGGGGGAGCTAGCTCTACCCAGCATCTTTCTGGTACCAGGTTAGATGCCTTGGGGTATCATGAGTGTGGAGAAAAAAGGTTGCAATTACCCTCTCCCACACGCTCTGACCGGTTATTTGGCGGTGCAATATGAAAGGCGCGTACCTTCTTCTCGCCGTTGTGAAAAAAAAAAAAGATCACGCCTCCGCATTCCGCCAGTCCCGTGCACAATACTTTTTTCGTCCCATAAAGAGCGTGCATCAAAAGTTCCATTGACAAAGTTTGGAAGAAAAGCTGCAGGAAAAGTTTGCAGCTTTTTTTGCAACATTGTGGAGTAATAAAAAGCGGTCTAAGGAGAAACTCACGTGCAAGCATTGTCAACGCTACAGTATTGCAGATGAAACCTTATCGGTCGGTTTAAAGAAGTGCCGGAATTGACATTCTATGTGGACCCATACGTTCCACAGCTCTCCTTCTCGGACCCCTATTATATTTCATTTCACTCCAGGGAGCAGCAAGGTTGGCTGCGCTCCTCTTACTACGAAACGTACAAAAACGACCCTGATTTCTCCGTTCTCAAGACACCAAAAGAGGAGTCCGAAATAATGTTTTCTACATCGACGCCAGCACTCCTGTATGGTTGCGCCGCGTTCGCATGAGCTCCCTTTACCTCAGCTGGCCAACCTTCCTTCTCAGCACACGACACTGCTGTCGCTATAATAGTTAAATAGTAGCCTCTCCTCGTAACCATTCCCCTGGGTCGAATGATGAATAATGTGTACCGTCTTGCATTACGAGCACCAAGACACTGCTTTATCAGCTTCGTTCTCTATAACGTTGTTTACATACTGCTGTTCCGGAATGCTACACTATTAATGCGTAAGTACAAGCGTTCCTCTCAGCTCCGATGCGGGGGTCACACAGAAGAAACTCTCTTACTAGATTATGTACTTGGTACAAGTATGTAATTTTTTTGGGGAGGGTTTTACTCTCGTTTTTCTGTAGCAAAGAATCACGAACAGCCTTCCACCACTTGGTACGACATGCGGAACACATCTCGGCGGGACGCCAATTCGAGCGTACCCGGTATACAGCAGTTGTCGAGGTCACCAACAACTATAACACTGAGTGTTTAGACCGCTAGTGGCCTCACCGGCTAACACGGCGGTACATTTGGTAAACAAGAGGTATTCTACTGCTCCATGTAGTCGTAAACTTGACATGAATGATCGACAGGGAGTAAAAAACTGGCTGTCGAGAGAGTTCCTTCTTCAACCTGTTGCCTCCCCGGTTGTATGTTCCAGTACTTGTCGGGATCAACCCATCAACCTCTGCTATCCACAACTTCCACATACATAAATACCAGGTACAACAGTAGTGCTGCATACCTGCTGTGCTGCGGCACTGGTACGAAGATACTTCACGAAAAAGGTGCCAAAACAAGGGGTCGTGATCGAATCATCGAAACATCGATACTATCGAAAACTGACATGAAACTCCATGCCAGCCCGTAACCTTCCACACCTTGGAAGGGATGCACCCGACGTTGAGGCAGGTACCTCCTAGCTTGCCTCGAGACTCCACGACAGCGGTCTTGAGCCCCAGTTGGCTCGACTTGATGGCAGCTACATACCCGCCGGGACCTCCTCCTACTACGACGACATCATAGGGGTCAGCAGATGCCGAGAGAGCTCTGCTAGATCCACCGAGAGAGAATCAACAGCAGCAGTGAGAAAGTTACAGCAAGCAATTCTCTCCGAGGTGCGCGCGTGCAGACGTCCAACGAAAAAGGGGCGTGGAAGAGCGATGCTGCCTGGTAGGCAAACCCATCACGTGTCTAAGGGTGTGCGTCACTACATTAATAGAAGAGGACATGGTACAAGAGAAGTGCGGCATGTTATTCGCGTGAAAGCACCATCAACCCATCACCTTCTGCAGCCCAGCAGGGGAGAGGCTCGCACAGTACCCACAAGCTGGCGAGTTGCGCGGAAGTGCACACCTATCTGGGCCATAGTCCCCCTCTCTCTCTTTTCTCGCGATCGAGGTAGGGTGGGGTTGTGTCGACGCGCACACGCGGAACCTGGGACGGGAAGGATATATTTTTGTCCCGCGTCCTGCCAAGTCCCGCAGGCAGGGGGCCCAAAAGATGAAAATTATTCATGTATTATCGCCCCCCGCCCCGAACCAACTAAATATGCGCACATAGCAGGAGGAGGAGAAGATTGGCCGAAGATTGAGTGTCGTCCTTGACGACGCCACATAGTCTATATACATATGCGAAGGAGGAGTATAATACCGATTCGGAGAAGTTAGTCGACGGATACCCTGCGAATCGGGTTATCCTTTTTAACGTGAGCTTTGGATGCTCAACTCACATTCACTTCATTCATTTCATCATCCACCCTCTTCTTATATTATTACCGACACAAATTGTGTGCTGTAGTAATATACATACTGTAGAAGGGCACCTACCGGTAGCTTTCCTACGCCCAGACCCTGAAGAGGGTAGGGTGCCAGAGCGTGGAAACCACTATCCGGCAACGGCGCCTGCTGTTGGCGGGAGCGCTGGTAAGGCAGCCAGACGGACGACTCCCGAAACGGGTGATGCTTGGCGTACTAGTGGGGGGGGGGGGTCCAGGCAGGGGGAAACCGGAGCAAAACTGGCAGATGCGCCTGAAGGACGACCTCAAGATGTTCGAAGCAGAGCACGGATCTACGGACGCCGAGCCATGCTTCTTCGGAGTCCCGGAAACAACTTGGATGGAAGCAGCGAAGGTGGACCGGGGGATACCGTGGCATACAAGGGGTACTGCAGGGAGCTAAAAGGTTGTTCATGGCCTCCTGGCACAAGAAGGAAGAGGAGGCTAGCCGACAACGAGCGCTCAAACGAAACAAGAAGCCCGACAACAACACGGACACGTCAACAACCACGGGGGTGGGAGGGGTACAGCAGGCGGACGAGACGGCGAGGAAAGGCAGGAAACGCGAAGAGACGGACCGAGTGGCGCGAAACACCGTGGTGCCGAAATGAACCTCTTTTTCTTGCTTGACTTTTACCCCCCCCCCCCCCCCGGCATTGCACCATTCATTGCACCAACCCCCCGCGAGCGATGACGCGCATGGGCTGGCTCGAGTGGCCCGCTTTGTCTTGTGTTGTCTTGTGTTGTTCTGTTTGTTTGTTGTTTGTTGTTTGTCGCTAAGGCGTGTGTCTTTCTCTGTCTGTCTCTTTCTCTTTCCCTTTCTTTGCTTCTCTCCATTATTTGCTGTTACAAGAACAAATAATAACTGTAACCAACCGCCAAACGCGGTGGAATAATACCCACAGGGGAGATATCGCTGTGTGCCGCTTGGGAAACCATGGAAATACAGGTAGCTTTACGCTATGAATTCATTGATAATAATCCATCTTAAACTCTCTTCTTAGATAGAGATGGATATTCGTTGGGTCATATTCAGAAAATAAAAAAACATAAGGCCGAAAAACATATATTTGCGCCCGCGCGTAAAACAAGAACAAAATAACTGTAACCACCAAACGCGGTCGTCGTGGAATGAGCACACTCCGCTGTGCAGACGACAGAGGAGAGGTGTGCCCCTAACCTCTCGTTGGCAGGCTAATCCCTGGCGAATCCCGTTGTAGAATGGAATTTATTGGCAGGTAGGGAACTAATACACACGTTGGCGTTATTGTACAACAATGAATGGAGGATGCATGAATCAATGGACGGCTGTGTTCCGACGAATAAAAGAAAGCCATCAATTATCAAGTTGTCAAGTGTGCATGCGGATTGCGGCGGAACATACTCTCGCGTCGGAAGTTGCGGCGGTGTGGCCCGAACCTCTCGTTGGCAGGCTAAATAGATAGACACACAGTCATTCTAGCGTCGAACTGGCTGTGCATCCTGTTCTAAATTGAACGAGGCTTCAATTTGATGGCGGGTAGGCAAAGTTTAGGCACAAATTCGTCGAGATCGGAGCAATTTGGTGCCGGAAGCACCTAATGCATGCCCGCTTGTGTTTCGTGCTTGAGAAGGCCGATCACCGACGACACAGTCAAACATCAACGCAGGAGGCGCCAATCAAGCTGAAACTTGCTGAGGGCGTCCAAAGTAGTGCAGGACGGCCGATGGTCTGATCCCTCGCGCCTCGGGCGTTCAGGCCAGAAAAGTGCGTGGTTCGGAGCTTCGGAGTGAACGTGATCATTCATTCACATTTTCTTTTACCGTTCTGTGAGACCTCTAGAGACCGTAACGGTCTCCTAGAGGAAATGCTGTGAAGATGAAATCAATTCAAAAGGCTGCCCCATCGAATCATCTTTTACTTATACTCATCCCCTGCTCATCATGTGTGTGTGTGTTACGACAACACACGCATGCGCCTAACCGTGGTGTTGGAAACGGCATCATCATAATATTATTTTCAATGAATGGGGTTTTTTGAAGATATTTGGTCCGGTTCAAACCCTCAATGACTTGCAACCCTAGAGAGTTAGCTCTCAACAGGTTCACTCGAAATTTTCTGTCATGTATAACCATTTTCTTACATTTATGGGACCGTAAGGAACCTGCGCAGCCATTATTCATTATTATTGTCGTTGACGACCGGCGCAAATTCAGCCCAACCAATCAGATACGAAGAGCACGGCCGGCGGAAACAAGCGTAGTCCCTTCTGTGCTAACTGCTTAATTAATTAATTGACTTGTTCCCATTTCCGTGCCCGCATGCTCATTGTGACCCTGAACAGTGAGTGGTGGTCAATTCGTAGACATTGCTGTATCTAATCGGCAACAATACACGGCTATCTGAGAATTATCTGTGTTGCTCTTATGTTATTTTAATCGTAGAGATTCTTACGGCATCCCATTCAATTTATATAATGGTGTACTACGTACTCCTGCTCGGTCTTATGCACGCAAATTTAAAAACCTTGCATCTCAGCGTCCACGGCGACAGTACACGACCAGCGCATCTTTCAGTAACTACCCTCTACGCCGCGTGTGGTTCCGCCAGGAGAATGCTATCGGGGAGTAAAGAGGTCGTCCACCGAGTCAATTTCTCGTACATTGTCCTCTGGCACCATTGAATTGCCGTCTGCACGACTCTCAGTGTCTGCCCTTCTGTCCCCAACTTCTCTATCCTCCTCGGGTGGTTCCCATTGCGATTCATCAGTGACCTGGTTGTACCAAAAAAGTAACCCCGTCGATGGGTCCTTGAACGCCATCCAATCTCCTGTGGAACCGCCAATACCAGTATCGCCCTCGAGGCGTTCATCTTCGTCGGCCCATTCCTGAGAGACAGCAGCAGTCGAAGAGAGATCGTCGGGTCGCTCCCACTGGAACTCGTTGTTTTTGTCATTATAGTAAAAAACGTTTCCATCCGGGAGCGTGTACTCTATCCAGTCACCCTCCCGCTTCAGTCGCATGGACGCTTTGGTGAGAGAGCTTGCGCTGCCTTCGCGAACCCCGGTTGGCGCGTCTCGCTGTGATTTCTCTTCGACGTGATTGTACCAAAACACGCTCTTCTCGTTCTGGTCTTCATACGAAATCCAGTCTCCCCAGTGCTCAAGCCGTACGGAACGCTCACGGCGTAAAGACATCAGAGACTGAGGGCGGACAAGCGCCGAGTCTTCCTGGACTCCAGCAGTGGTATCTCCCTGCTGCTTGACGCTGTTGAGAGTTTCCCTACATCGTTTGTGTCCCTGCTTGATCATGTGCGCACAGACAGAAACGCGGCAGTTTCAGAAACGGCATCAGGAGAAGTTGTTTCGGCAAACAGTAAATTTCACATCCAGTCATGCCCGCAATACTGTTGCTTACATCGGGCACGTTTCTTCTCCATCAGTAACCCACGATTCAGGTGATCCCTTTGGCCACATGAGTGGCGGAAAAAAAACAATGAATATGGTTAGGGTAGATATCTCACCTCGAGAGTAGCCAGGAACAGCACCGAATCGAAGTATGAGTTGTTGACGTGATGATGCAACTGATATTCCATCAATATCTTCTCGCACGCTGATTGGCCTCTCCGTGAAGCAAGGTCAATAGGCCTGAGGCCTTTCGTGTTCCTTGCATCCGGTTCGACACCATATTGCAGCAAGAGTAGAAGGCATGCTGTGCTACCGTTGTACGCTGCCGCGTGCATTGGAGTGTCACCGCGCTTGTCTACCTCACCAAGATCTTGATCTGCATACTCGAGCAGTTCGCAGAGGAACTCTGCCTTCTCCAGTCGATCGGAAGCGCAGGCGACAAACAAAGGTGTTCGCAAGTCCGCATCCTGCAAGTTGAACGAATATGCACGGCATAAACGTTTCATTTGTTGGGATTCTCGTAGGGTTTTCCAGTGGAGCTGCAAGAAGCGTGAGCAAGGCGATGTGTAAGGACACCAGCGGCTTGGTGCGTTTACGCGAGAAAAATTCTACCGGTTTACACCCTTTCCGAAAGCAAAACACTCGGCGAGACCCACCTTGGCATTGAGATTTGCCCCGTGCTGCGATAAGACCTCTAAGACATCGTTGTTTGCCGCGAGATGGGCTGGCGTCATTTCCATTTCGTTGAGGGGTTCAACCGCACTTCGCCCGTGCTGAAGGAGAAGCCGACAACACAGTCGCGACCCCGCTAAAGCGGCAGCGTGAAGTGGGGTGTCTCTGTTGACATCCATCGCGTGACAGCTTTGAGGGCTTTCCTGAATCAGCAGGTCCGCAGCATCAGCGTGAGCGTTCGCGCACGCGTAGAACAGGGGACTTCGACCAGAGGAATCAACCTCCGCCAATATCTCGCGTTGGGTAGATTGAATTGCCTCAAGGCAAGTCAAGTGTCCAGCTGCAGCGGCCAAATGCGCTGTAGACATTTCCCTCTGGTGCGTGCGGCAGTGAGCACACACGCCGGAATCGATAGAGTCGGCCGGGGGAACAGCTTGGTGGCCATTCCAGTGGCTTCCGTCTTCCTGAACACTGCCAGCAAGTGCCAAACCATCGTCTGTCGTCTCAGTATACCTCAGCACTTCCGGACTTTCTGCACTGGAGGTTAAAGTGAAATTTTCGACAAGACCTGGCTCCCCTTGATCCTTTCTCATGTCCGGACTCGCAGATTGCGGCGCGGCTCTCTCGGTCACGTCAGTAGTCTCCTCGGCGTTTTCACTAACGGTGGGTACCGGTGCACAAGCCTCATCGCGACCAGATGTGGTAGTCAAGGGTATACCCTGGGTATCCACTGGGTCAACGTGACCAAATTGTCCTTCATTGTCGTCCTGGGTGTTGGTGGGTACGGCTGATGTGCCCTCTACGGCGTTCGAAGAACGCTGCTCCGCTATTTGGGATTCCAGAATGGCCCGTTCTTCCGCAAGCTTGCTAGCCTCCCTCTCCATCCCGGCGATTGCCGCTGCTTCTGCAGCCATCTTTTCAAGAACTCTCTGTTTTGCCTCGTCGCTCAGCTTTTGAAGCTCTGCCTCCTCCTGCTGCATCTTCGCTTCGATTGCTTCACGTTTTCGTGCGATCAATTGGGCTTCTTGCACCAACGTGTCCTCGAGCTCACGCTTGTTCGTCATTTCAGCCTGCAACTCGGCACGCTTGGTAGACAGCTGAAGAGCTTGCCGCTCCATTTCTGCAATGGCAGCGGCCTCAGCGACCATTTTGGCCTCCACCTGTTGGGGTAGGTGGGCGAAGCAATGTACAGCTTGTGCGTTAGGCAGCATGAGTTGGCATCTAACAACTCAACGAGCAACATCATGTATCTGCTCTATGCCAACGGAATACTTGCCTCTCGCTTGGCAGCCTCGCTCAAAGTTTTAATTTCCTCTTCCTCCTGTCTCATTCGGGCCTCGACCAAGGCGCGCTTCGTCTTCAATGCGGAAGTATTGGCTTCGATTTCCGCGGCTTTGATATCTTCTCGTTCCGCTAGCTGTTTCTGCATATTCTCCCTCTGTAGAGCCATGTCAGCGGCCTGCCGTTCCAACTGAGCCACTACTTCCGCCTCTGCACGAATACGCTCTTCAGCTTCCCTCTTGGCTTCCTCGCTCATGAATTTGCTTTCCCCTTTCTTCTTGGCACTTTCTGTGAGCTCTGCCATTTTGACGGCTTCCTCCTCCAGCCTCTCTTCCATATCCTTACGTTTTTTCATCAGCTGTTCTCTCTTGGCTTGGCGTCTTCGGAGTTTTTCCTCATCCTAGTAAGTAGGGCATGTCAGTTGGCACAAACAATTCCAGTAGAGTGTATTGTTTAATGGACTGCAAGAATTCACCAGAGTGTATGCTGCCTGCCGTTTCATCTCGTACGGTGAGCTGTAGTTACATGCCAAGAAGCGCCGTTTCAGAGAGGTCGACTGAGTGGTGTGTCCTGCACCATAGCACGTTCAGTTTTTCATCAAACCAAGAGAAAGCCTCGTCCTCCCACTTGCCTGCTGGACTCCTCTGTGTTCTACTTGCTGGCGCTCCATGCGCTTGCGTCTAGTCTCGTCGACGGCGGCCAGTGCCCTGCAGAAGGAACAATTTAATTGACCATGCACAGCATTAGATAGGGTCAAGGCGGCTCGGTAAGTGCCGACCAAACTGGTTGAGGCTGGGCTGAACATGTCTGAGCCCCGTGTCCTCCTGGGGCCCCGTAATGATGCTTCCCTTCTGCAGCACCCGAACGTGTCTCATGCATCAAGCTTCTAGAATACATATTGCTGCAGATTGGCCTTAGGGGAAATCTTTTCCGAACGCACAACCGTGTTTCAAGTGTCCAGATGCTCAATAACTCCCTTGGCCGCATCTTCTCAGAAGAAGTCTTGAAGGTTTAGATCGAGGAGTCCACAACGCCGTTTTTGAGCGTGTCCAATTCGAGGCAAAACGGTCAACATATTGGAGAGAGAGGGGGAGAGAGAGATAGAGAGAGAAACGTTTAGTTACGCAACACCAGAGCACCTCCTCACAAGCAACCACAGCCCACACACTCGGCCATGCTCCTGGTGTGGTGTGCGAAAACTTCCGGATCAACAGATGGCAGTCGTGGGCACCCACAAACGAACACCATCTTGTGATTTTGAAGCTGCATGCCAGCAGCTCAAGAAGGAGGTATGTTCACACCTGCTTCTGCATGCTCGATGGCGTCGAATCCCAAGTTTTGGTAACCCCGATGAACAAACGCGCTCTAACCAATTCGCTGGTATCTCACAAGAGATTCTACAAGACGTTGTGCTTTGGTTAAGGGACTGGGTAAAAATTTAGCCGTTTCATGTATAACAGGCCCGGAAAACAGCTGTTCCACACAACCTGCCTTTTGAGAGAAACACCCACGTCTCTGGCACTTTGTGTAAGGCTCATTAGGACATGGCTCCTCGCCATCGAAAAGAAAAAAGGGGCACAGTATCCATGGGCCCGAGGTTGAGCATGTTGCTTTAAGCCTCAGGACACCATCCATCTCGAGGTAGCCCTCATTGTTGATGATTCTGCCGCAAGGCACTTGCCTCAAACTATAACAACGAGTCTAGAGCAGTACACTTGCTGTTTTATCAACTTCAAAACCACAAACGGCGCTGCACAATGGGGCTGCCACTATATGTTCGCCATCACCAGTAGTTATTCAAAGGTTATACTCAACTGGACTTGTATCGTTGCGTAGCTTCTCGTTGCGCATGAGAGTCCCGTCATGCACCGCTACATCGTGAAGTATTCTTTGAACTGTAGTCGCTTGGTTTGATTTTAGCAGCTCTCAAATACGTTGTCTGCATGCCATGCTCAACGTACGAGGATTTGAGTGAAGCCTTGACCCCCGGTCAACTTACTCTTTTGGCATATCCTTCAAACATGAATACTTAAGGCTAGGCTGGGCTCCGCAAGGAAAAAAAAGACGTACAAAAGGAACGGTGGTTCGCACGAAAAACGAAACAAATTGAACGTAGAGTGCGGGATTTTGCGCAAAAATGCAGCTTCATGTGCAGGGGACGTAAAAATCATCTGGGAAAGCTTCTGGTTGATAACATTTTGGTCCGTATGGATCGAAATTTCAAAATGTGCGATCGATGAAACCTCTACATGATTTTGGTCTAGGAAATTGTCCGGTATGCCAACTTGATTCGTCTTCAATCCGTTTGTTCATCGGGGGAACACACGTGGAGAATGGCGTCGACGCGCCCAAGCATCCACAAGATCTGGCAGTTCGGGGTAAAATTCGGCCGCTGCATCTAGCCACAGTTCACTAGAAACCTCTAGAGTCGTTTCTGGTTGGCCTTCTACTACTGTAAAGGCACGCAACGCCATTCACACACCACATCGGCAGGCTCTGGCAAAATTCGAGCAGTTTGGTTGCTTGTGGCGCACAGTAGTGCTCGACGGGGTTGTCCAAGTTCGTATGACTTACTGAAAATATGTAACGGTTTGTGTCTCCGAAGGGTTTGCGGGGCAGGGGAGAATTTCGAACGTACAGTAATCTGGAGGGGCACCACCAAGGAATATTTTGTAGAAAATTGACGCGTGAAAAATAAAAAATTAGTTGGAGAAAAATACACCATTTCGTAGCCCCGGGGACAGTCCCCTCCGCTGGGACCGGGCGATCCGTTAACAATGGGGGTCACCGGGGTTTTGCCTCTTGTTGCCCAAAAGCAGGGCAGTCTCGTCCACATCGAGATTGTGGCCCTCTCTAACGTTACATAACAGAAAGACAGCATTGGAGTACCTCTGTAAGAACCGGGATGGGTTCTTTGGAGAAGAAAACGATCAGTCAGATCGGTAACAGTATGCCGCAAAAAGGCGATGAAACTTTTGGCAGCAGTAAGCTTATGATATTTTTTCAGGGTTCTGTCCAACTAAAGCTGCCCGTGCGAAAAAACAAAAACCCATTACTCTCGCTCGAGTCGTTTGGTGTTGTATCGCGAAACATTCCTTAAAAGAAATCCAGAACTATGCTTGTTGAATGTATGGCGGAGAAGATGAGAGTCGCGCGCGCTCTCCCGTTAGAACCTCTTCGGCACCGTACGAGTCACCAATTGTACCTTTAACTCAGTCTTCGAGAAAGTTCCAACTTCAACAGAGGATGCATGAATGCCAACCTGCATGGTTGTGTCAAATGCGTGTCATGTACCTCGTACTACATACGCAAAAACAAGGTACCCTTTCCGGAAAGTAGTATTTGCGCACTAAACGCTCACCTCTCGATTTCCCCCCGCTCTTTCTCATCATCTCCTGTGTTTGTATCGTGCTCCGAAACCCTGGCCACCTCCTGTGCTATGCTTCTGACCTCCGCCACTCGTTGAGCCTTGCGGGCCGCAAGTGCAATTTCAGCTGACAACCGCGGCTCGGCACGGTTCGACCCTTCCGTCGCTGAAGGTGAGGCAGGCGATGCTCCTTTGAGGCTATTGAAATCATTTCGCCCTGGATGGATATCCTCGGACTCTGGCAGAGCTGAAAGCGTCGGCGGTGTCTGCGCTCCGTGCATGCCCATGCTGTCGATTCGTTTCCCAACCTTCTTGTCTCTCTTGTCCTCCTTGGGATGAGTCTCGCCATCTTCTTCGCTTGAACTCACGGGATTCACAAAGCTAGAAGCTCCAGGAATAGACCCGGCGTTCATGCTGCCTTGGGCATTAATTCCTGGTAATTTCATGCCCAATGCTTCAGCCATGCCCTGTGGAGGGCGTCTCGGGGGGGGTGGGCTCGCAGGCGGAGAAGGCTGCGACCGTGGAGAACGAAAAGACCCATCCTTCGCAAAGAGTGGCCGCCGGTCCACGCCTGACGTCAGGGTTCCTTGTTCGTTGAGTGGGGGAATCGTTCCGGAGCCATCGCGGGTCGGGAGAACATCCGTCGGCGAGCTTCCGGTGGCTAGAGACATGCGAGAGATACGTTTGGTCGAGCACGCGGTACAGAAACCAGCCGCATGAGATGCGGCGTGAATACACGGGCTTCTACCGCTGCGCTCCCATACCCTTCAGTGTCCAGAGATGGCCTTCTGCAGCGACGTTGTGACTGCTTATAACCTACGCAAAGGGAAGGATGTGGACCAGTACGCCAAGACAGCATACACCAGCTCGCACACGCACGCATAAAGAATCACACTACACATGCAACGTGCAACGTGCACACACGAGACGCAAGCGGCGTGATCATGTGATCATTCACAGGTAATTTTTGAAGCGACACCGATTACCCCGCGTTCCCCGCGCGTTTGAAACTTCAAATTTCAAATACCAAACTGTCTTGTTGAGCCTGTTACCCGCAGGGGAGATGTCCCTATCTGCTGTCTGGGAAATCGTAGACTTACAGGTACTTTCTGACGCTATGAATCCATTGCTAATCTGTCTCAGACTCTTTTCTATGATAGAGATGGTTTCGTTGTGTCATATTAAGAAAAAAAAAAAAAAAACTGTCTTGTTGAGCCTGTTACCCGCAGGGGAGATGTTCCTATATGCTGTCTGGGAAACCGTAGACATAAAGGTACTTTCTGACGCTATGAATTCATTGCTAATCTGTCTCAGACTCTTTTCTATGATAGAGATGGATTCGTTGTGTCATATTAAGAAAAAAATATATATATGCCCTGAACAAGGCGCCCTCCGGTTGGAGTACTTTGCAACATCATATGGTTAGCGCCTCGGGGGGCAAACCTATTTGATGTGAACTTGTTCTTCCTCCCTTCTGGAATCGCATGATAACGCTTGTACACCACAAGCAGCACAAAAATAGAATCTCTGTTTTCATGTTCTGCTGTAGACTCCTGTATCTCATGTGGATATCACATTCTGCTGTTGTATCGGCCCTTCCGTATCCAGAGTACACCACCAGTCTCGTCTCACGAACCTTTCGCTCAAGAACATCCCCTGAATCTTTACGTCGATTTGTTTATTGGCACTCGTTCCTTCTCTCTCTCTCTCTCTCTCTCTCTGTTATTCTCTTTCTCTCTCCTTTCAATGCTCCCAATCCCCTTGATTGCGTCTGACTGACTGATCAGTAACTGGTTCGAAGCTCCAAAAAAATCTCCGTGTTGGAAACAGATGTACCGCAACCACTTGATACGAACAAATGCCCACTCTGCCCGAGGCTCGCCGCGCTTTTAAATTACTCTGTGGGGAACCAACAGGGACTATTATTTAGTGTCTACCCGGTACGGTTAGCGTGAGGTTATGTAGGGTCCAAGTTTATTACGGTTGTTTTGTTTTTTCGGTGTTTTATGGAAACAAACCTGAAAAATGCATACATACGATGTGTCCTTGTCCGCCAGACGTAATCTTCGCCAAAAAAAATTCGCGAGCTGTTTTTTGCTACCTAAAAACACCTTACAATATGCACTGTCAGTCTGTTTCTCTCTGAGGCCAATCGCTTCGTAAGGTATCACACCGCTGAGAACACTTACGCGAGGATCACTTAGAAAACAGGGTGTTTCTGTGCGTGCATGTGTTCGTCCCATTTTCTTCTGGCGCCAGTCTACACACCTCTGGGAGTATTGTTTCTACTACTGTAGTAGGTTTGCAAAAGGTCGGTTGACCACTAGGCCACCGGCGCGACCGGCGTCATATACGGGCAAGCTTCGAGGTTGCATAAGCTACAGTATACAGAACACGCCACACCTAGGACCGTTTATTTTGCGTGAGGCTCGACCCTTGATGATTGTTGACTCAAACCAAGCACGCACATGTTCGTATTTTCCAAGTTCTTACATTTAGAGCGGGCATCCCCCTAGGATAAGCGGGGTTCTTGTTCTTCTTTCTACGCCGATTACCCCATGCAGAAGACACATCCAGGTTGTTCTGATGGATGGATGGGTGGACGGACTTATTTCAAGAGAATATATAAGCGTGTGTAGCACCAACAGTCAGTATAATCGGACACCCCCCCCTCCCCCTCCGCGCGAGACGCATTGAAGATGAATGCAGTACCGTATGTACGATGTCGGAGAGGAAAGGTTGCCGAGAATAGCTTGGGAGGCGAAGTAGCCAAACAAGAAACAGGGTAGACAACTCAAGGAGTGGTTGAGGTTATAGATGACGTATGAAAGGAGTTCGAAATCGATTACGTTAATATATTGGAAACGGTAGGCCTAGAGGGGTTCAAGAAAAAGATATGTGTTGCTTTTGCCGAGAGAGATGAACAGAATCTAACTAAAGACACCAACGACAAGGAGGGCCTAGATGTGTGCGGAATGTTGAAAGAAGGAATAGGGTTCAAGGAGTTCCTACAAGGACCAATGGATGCAGGGACAAAGCTGAAGGTCAAATTTATGGCTTGGGACATGGTCTTCGAGAACGTAGACAGACGGAGATTTAGGAAGGTATAGACGATGACGACGAAGATTCACATGTGAAGGCGACTCCGAGTGCGAAGGCTGGGTTCACAGAGTTGCGGAATGTCCGTTGTACGACAAGTAGAGAGAAATGCACACGACGGAGCTGGGAAAACTAGAAGGAAGGTACAGCGACATGTTTGAGCCATCAAATAGCCAGGAGCACGCTAGCTGTACTGGGGCTTACGAAGTGGGTTGAACAGGCGGGAAGTGATATCGAAAGGATAGATTGGTGGCTAGAGGAAACATTTTTGGGACACCTTTGGCAAAGTAGGAAGAAACGATTGGCCATCGGTGATCGGTCCTCCAGTAGCCTTCGCAGTTTTTTTGTATTCAGGAAACATGTTGGATAAAGCATACAATCGGGGAAGTTGGGTTAGGGTTAGGGAATAGGGTCTACGTACCCCCTCCCTGTTCTATTTCTTACAATACGGAATTTCCCGCGAAGAAAGAGATCCGATCGGTCCTGTGGGGACAATGCCCCATCCTCTCGAGGAACGTGGTCAATGATTGGTCTCACCGCTAAGGCATGCAAGACATGAGAGTACGCCCCCCCCCCCCCGCGCGTACAAGTATTATTTGACGAGGTGCCCCCCCCCCCCGGTCCGGAATCTGAGACTAATTACCGCTGGGGTCATCCCCCACCTTCCTTATCGTGCAGTCGCCGTGTTTTAGGGCTCCGTTCTTATCGGTATGCGCGTTGGTACACGACAAAGAAAGGCAGGTTCTTGTTCTTATTGCCACGTCGGAACTGAGCACCTGTTCTTCTGGGCAAGTTGAGGTGTACAAGTAACTCCCTGTGGTCAGCAGCGTGTTCGTGCGTGCCATGTGTGCTGTGAGATGATTTCGTGCCATTGTCAAATAGGTCCATAATGCCGACACCTCCTAGCCCCCCCCCCAAGGGATTGCACGGAACAGGTGGCTCTTTTGCTCCCAGTATATCTGAAGGCAGAAACGGGGGTGCATAGGTGTATACCGGGATCCGCACCCCCAAACCCTTACTGTGTCCAAAGGTAATCCGAAACAACACTCAGTCAGCGGTTGACCGAGTGATGTACAGGATTAGTCTCATTAGAAATCGTACTATGATGTCCCGCTCCCTTAGGACCACGTCGTCGTGTGCATTCTGTTTCAATACCTTCTTTCGGTGGGGAGAAGTTTCTCCGTTTCCGGCCGCCGTCCTCAAACTTTCCAACCAATTTAAGCGCACATCGACACACATTCTGCGACAGCTATTCTTCGATGAGATACTACCAATCGCGTTGTTCGATCGCCCTGCCGCTTTACTGTGGCAACCCCGCGAAAAGATCCAGGTAGTGGGTTCGAGTCTCGGAGGTGGTAAATTTCAAGGTAAACTTGCCTCGATTCGGATCAATACATTGTGCAACTGTGCAAAGCGCTGTGCCTACATATTTTTTATATGTATAGCGGCACCTGAGGAGTGAGCTGTCGAAACCCTCTCATAAGCTGAAAGCGCATTATGTAGAGTAAAACGCACCGCAGATAAACTCATCGGCGCAACCCCGATCTCGAGACTCTGTATCACACGAGATAATACCACAGGCTTGCTGGAGTTCTAGATGGGACAATGAAACCGTAACACGTTTTGGCGGAAGAGCCCAGCTCCCTTGCTGGCGCTGTAGAACAAGTGCTGCAGCCATCGAGGCCAACCAAAACTAGTCGACATCACGGCATGCCTGCCTTGCATATTTCCTATTAATCATCGAGTGCTCCCTCCTACCACACACGATGTCATATCTTTGGCAACGACCAAGTCACCTACAAGTACAAGCCCGTGAACAAACCATCCTCCAGCGATTCGTTAGCTGTCTGAGCCAGTATCGTCTACCATCAGCTCTTCGACGCCTCTCTTGAGGGCCTCGAGCTTGTTCGTGCTCAAAACTTCAGCTTCAAACTCGCAAGCTTCGTCATCAACAAGATGAGCTAGCCATCTGGCAATGCCAGCCCGTATCGTCTTTGCGCGACTTCTTCCCCAGCACCCTCTCAGGAAACGTTGTATGAATACGGCAGCGGAAACCATGAGTGAATTTGTAGCGTTGTACTCCGCCCGCTTTTCACGCCATCGATGAGCTGCCTTGCGCCCGATATGCCCTCGCAGGATTCGCTGTATGAGTTGTGAGGCATCTAGCTCTCTCTTTTCTACAGCAACAAACCCCGCGAAGTCTGCCAGCACTTCTGCTTGCTCCTTTTCCTTGCGTACCTGCAACGCACACACAATGAAGTTGACCCATGAGTTTGGGATAAAAGTGGGAATACGCCTCCGTAACAACATCCACAAGATACAGCGCATTTACCTTCACCCGTTGGTATCCCGGCTGGGTGCTGGAGACGGTCATCTGGCTGACAGGTTTGCTCTGGGCTCGTACTGGAACGCTTGTGTCGATTGCCCACCCAAGCTTGAAATCTGATGCGCAATTTCTTTGTCGATGGAGCAACCACCGTGCACGGAAGTACATGACCGTCACACAGAACAGACCAAAGCGCATCGTCGATTCCATGAACCCAATCTCCTTGTCGTGGATGCCGCCCTCCTTGACAATTCGTTCGGAGACATTGTTCCAGCTGCTTCCATCGACTCCTGGTGGAACAGTTAGCATATTAGCTTTGTCTTCGTTTCGCTCGTGGAGTGATCTTGTATCCCCTGTCCGTGCTTCGTCTTCCTGCTTGTATGGTGGAGAACGAGGAGTATGATGTCTACTCAAAAGGTACGGCAGCACAGCATGATACGATACGGAAGTTTGCCTATAGTTTTATCAACTTGATCTAGCGGAGCGTACAGAGAAGCGTACACCAACCCAAGCAGACATGGATGTGTGTCCCCTACTCCCCTACACGCCACGAGGTTTACTACTATAGATATCAAAGAGACCACCTTGGTTAGATACTCGCCTTGACCAGACCATCCACGTCCACGGTAGGTGTGTGCCCGAGTGTTGCATGTTCAGATTGGCGCTCTCCGAAATGCCATCCTTCCAACATCCACTTCAGGATATCGTGCGTAACTTCAATAGCTACCGCACGAGCCACCAGCCGGTTGTGCTCACGCTCAAGGGCAACCCGGGCATCTTTAGTCCATAGCAATGTCCGATAGCCGTGCAATGCAACGCACTCAATATGTTGTTTGGAGGTGCGGTTGGCTTCGTGGAACTCTTCGTCAATAAAATGAAGCTTCAGCCTCTGCCTCAAGTAGCTTTGTTCCGAGCTCAGCTCGTCAATGAAGTCGACTCGTCGAAAATATGTGTTCCCGTCCATTTCTACCGACGATGGCCAAGTGCTCTCAATCATGTTCTCCGTGCTGATGCGCGCAAAGTGCAGCTCTTCTGCGATTCGCTCCAAGCGGAAGTTGGTCTCCTGGAATTGAAATGTCACATGCCATTTGATGTGGATTGCACGGTTGCGCACCATCAGAATTCTTGGTGGATCAGCGGTACCTAAATCAAGATCGAGCACACACTGCAGCGATGCCTCCGTTCGCCCATTCTTGCGGGGTTGTCGAAAAGGCTAATCCCGTTCGTAACACACGCCCGATTGATGTTTAGGTATGAAAAATTTATGTTTTGCAACCTCGTAGTGGGGATTCGCCCAAGAAGAAGTACAGGCGGAAATCACTGACAACACACCTCGAGATTAACAACCGGGATGCGTTTGCATGGGTTGCTCATGCATGCCGGGCATCCGCCAGGCCCGAGATTGGCGATCCTCCTGGCGTTTTCGCGTTGAATAGGTGTCTTTGTCGATTCCAGCAGCATGCGCTTCCGTGCATCAAAGATGTTCATGTCTCCGCGGCCCGCACGCCGCTTTGATCGGCGCGTCTTGCGTTTCTCTTTTTTTCTTCCTTGTCCATAGTCTTCTTCATCTTCCTCGCTGCTGCTTAAGTCTTCTAAGAGGTACACGTTCTTTCTTTCTCGATGCTGCACCTGGGGAGCGCCGAGGAAGACCATGTCGAAAAATTGTCACGTTTTGAGAAATATTGAGGTTGCGGCGAAGCGCTTGGAACGCCGACGACACAATCGTACAACATGTCTTCGAGATTGTGATTCACTCACTTGTTCGCGAAGCAGTCGGTCAATCTCGGCCTCTAGGTGCAATCGCAATGTGCTCGTCGGGTAGCGCTGTGGAGCTGCGTGCAACATAGAGCTTGTGATTTTCGGGTTGCTGCAATGCGCCACCCTGTCCAACTCTTGCTGGAGACACCGTAGACGTTCATCGATGTCTGTGCGAAGGCCTTCCGTGCTCTTCCCCATTTGAACTCCTCTCCAGCCATGGCTGTTGCCTTTTGATACGTCCTGGTGAGGCCAACAAGCAGTGTTATGAGGGTGCTTTTCAGACAAAGACGGTGTGTCTCATAGGCAAAGGTGTCACACCAGCATTAATCTCGCATGCCCGCTACATGCGCTGTCCACGCAGATAAAACATTGTACCGGACAGGCCCCATTGTAGACTGAGAGAAGCTTGAAGGCCCTCTTCTCGTCCTCTGTTTCCAGCGAGGTATCCTCGGCGTGAGCCCATATCCGCAGAAGGTCATCTCGATTAAACGGGCATGCCCACGTCTGCTCGTAGGTGGCAACCACCTTCATTGGGCAAGTTTCATATAAAGACGAGTCAATGGTGCGAAAGAGAAACACTGGGAAGTCCGCGGCAACTCACACAAGGTACCACACAATTCGGGATTCACTGAGTCAATCCTCCAGTTTCTTGAGTTAGCAAGCACGATACGACGGGTCACCTGTTCATGAAGGGGTGTGTCTCCTTTGCCAGGTTCGAAAGGACGTTGGTCGTTGGTGGATCCTGGCACTCCTCCCTTAGCACGCCTCCAAATCTGGAGATTGACGGAGGCGAGCGTGAGCTACTTTTTCAAGAAAGGGAAACCTCCGCCTAGGAAAGAGCACGGAAACCACACAACCATGGCACCAAAGCAGACGACCGCACTTCTCTAGGCAACATCATCTTGCTATTCTACACTTTCTTCTTGGGGGTGCTGGTACGCGGTTTCCCTGTCGATGCGACAAGGCGATACCAATAGAAAAAAAACAACAGTTGTGCTGAGGAGCCGAGCTTTGATTCGTTCTCTGTTGCTGTGGCCACTGGGTCAACTTTTGATGTAGCACCAAGCGGTTGGTACATTGGAGGCAACGCCATGGCAACACGTGGAGTTCTCGATCAATAGATACTTCGTAGCGCTCTAGGGATCAGTTTTACTTGGAGACGAGGCTCGTCACTCGCCAGTGGATTCAAGATCTTGTCAAGGGAGACCCATTCCTTCTCTGTGGCCGTACGGTCGTCGTGCTTCTTCATGCGCGTTCGCTCTGCCAACGGAAAGTCGTGCGCCTCACTGCAAACTTGACCTTGGGGGTTGACAAGCTGTGGATCGTCGGGGAACTTGTGCAAGAGCTTTCGCACATGCATTTCCCGACGATTGAGGTCTTCACTCGATTCTGCCAAGATGCGCATCAGTTCCTCACGTTGGAAACGACACTGATCGAGAGCAGGATTGTTGGGCTTTTTTTTCGAGCCTTTCTTGTTTCCTCTTTCGAGAGCATAGCGAGCTTCTTCCTCCTGCTGCCGTTGCAACCATTCATACTTGTCCGGATTCATGGACTGGTCCACCGTAATCCATTGTTGTTCTTCGAGTGTCAGTGCCTCCAAACCACCCCTTTCGAATGCGTGTCGAATTTTCCCGGCAGGAGTCTCAAGAGAAACCGTCAAACTTCTTGGGCCCTCACCACTGGAAGAGTGATGTCCACCTTTGCCTTCATCCGAGCGTACTTTGAGCTCCCGCGATATCTCAGCTGCGGCGTTGGAGCCATTCAAAATCTCGACCACAACCGGGATTTCGGCGGATATTTGTTGAAGCTGTTCTTCGAGGCGAGCCTTCTCGGCTCTACCATCTCTTCTTAACTTCATCAACTTTTGGAGGGCTTCCTTTACGCTCGTTTTTTCCTGGCACCGCATTGTGTATAGACGACCCCAATGCATATGCTCAGTTTCGATGGCGGCAACCTCGTTCCAGGTTTGTGCTCGCTCTGCTTCAGACAGTTCCGACGAACTGGCAGTACTGGAGCCAGTGCTGGCACTGGAGGTAGTAAGGAGCGCGGACGTAGACCGCGATGTTGAGGACGAGCTACGCGTTCTTGAACTCCTGGTGGTGGATGTACTGTCCTCGGTGGAACTTAACTCAGGCAATGATCCAACGATGCCGCCGGCGCTGCGTGGGCGAAGGTGCTCGCAAAGTTCATCGATGGCCTCTTGGCAGCGAACACATTCTGAGCCAGCTTCCTCGATAAGCGCATTGCACACGTGGTTCTGTCTTTCCCGCAGACGCACGCATTCCCACGTGTCGCTCAGTTCGCCTTCGAGATCGGCCACTCGCACCTGGTCAAGAGGTTGGCTGTGTAAGTGCGAGAGAGGTGTATTGTACTCTTGCACAGAAGAAACACCACACACAGTCATACTCAATCGTTGCGAACCAGCTGAATTACACTGTTACTGACCTTCAACTTTCGTGCCTCCTCTAGCCGCTTGTCCACCAGACTTGCGCACAACTCGCACTGCCCGGCGACCACAACCACAGAGTACTCAGTTGGCCCCAACGCAGTCACCTCCACCTCGTACGTACCACGAGCTAGGGGGACGCGCCTTGGACAATGCTGGATCACGATGGTGCCAGGTGTTTGGTAGAACTGGTCTCCAGTATTTAGCTCCTGGCGAGCATGAGGAGAAAACCCAATGCACTCCCCGGTAGAAGCCACAACCCCCCTTGAGTACTCTGGTTTCCGGCGGAGTACCGCGCACATTCTGCCCTTGTTGAAGCCTCTGGAGTCCATGCAACCCGAAAACGTGATGACTACCTGTTCATAACGCAGAAGAGGGGGTGAATGCGTTGCTGAACAGACTCCACTACAAATCTGACAGAATAGGTTCAAGTTACATCTCGGAAAGCTGGTGGCATTTGCGTGCTGGGCAGGTAACGAACTACTAGCTAGCATTCTCGCCCGACACCGTAAATGAACTATCTCGAGTTCGAGATCACGTACCGCACACGACGTTTTCACATAGTACTTCTAGGCTGTCGATAGTAGCAGGGGAGGCGGGGGTGGGGATGAAATGCCAGTGCAGCAGCCTAGGTGTTCTACTCGAAGATACTTTTGCATTTCAACACAACACAATACTACAAATTACCACGGAATGCTCTACAAAGATGAACAAACAAGTTCACTCGCCTTGAGGTCGACCGGGTACATGGGGGCAAAGTCCGCAATCGCGAAACTGTGCACGCGTGACTCTTGGATTCCAAGCAGGCTAGCCGCCGAACGGTAAACCTCTCGCTCTCCTGTGCGGATAGCGATGTCTCCATCGTGTGCACGGAGCTTCTTCATCGCGACGTCGGACATGGAGTTGACCACGCTTTTGCCAAGGTCGAATTGCAGCGCGGGACATCGCGACGTTGGATATGGAGTTAGCCACGCTTTTGATAAGGTCACACCGTAACGCGGAACAATTTTCTTAGCGATTGCCACAACGTGAGGTGATGTTACGAAAGAAACACTGATCTCGCATGCAGGCGAGGCGACGCGTACTACGTGGCAGGTGGACTCAAGCATGCTGCGTGGTGAATAGCATCCACTCCGTACACGATTTGCTTGTTGCTATGGGCGAAATACGTCTCACGTGATCGAACGTTGATGCCGCTCTTGCTTCATGCCAGTGCGCTCCACGGGAGCGCCAACTGGGAGAATGGTGCCTTTCGCTAGATCTTCTCCAGGAAGGCTACAAGTACCTGCAAATGGTTTCACCTGCAATAGGGCGCTGCTTGAAAGATGTTGTATATTATTGTATTCCCAGCTGTGTACGATGTGTCACGTGGAATAATTGTTTACATTTACGCCGAACCACATCACACTATCTTGCATCCATCGTCAGCCAAAACAACAGCCGCATACAATTGAGTTTTCAAACATGAGAGCGCGAAGTTGGCAACATCGTCGTAGGAATATGGGCCAGCTAGTGAAGGCCTTGCAATATTTCCGTCACGGGCTACCGCTGCATTCGAATATTACCTCGGGTGCAAGGGACATGTGGTCTTGACTTTGTTCGTCTGCTTTGGCGAATTCCGCATCACCGTGTTCAAGCGTATACGTTGTCAATAGCTTGTGTGCATCTATTTCTGCCGCTGATTTCATTTGCGGCAGAGCGAGCTGTATCTCGTGAGGCAGCCCAAGGATCCTGGCCACATCCTCCCGAGTCAACTCCGTTTTGTACTCGTCGTTCAGCTGCAGCTCTTCCTTTTCCACAACAGACAAGGCAGTGTAGAGATCTGGGTTGATGAGGATATCCAGCGCGACCCACTGCTTCTCTTCCAGACTTCGCTGGTGGCTTGACTTGTCGCGAATCTGTGAGAGTAAACGTGCAAACACGACGTTACGTACAGCGTCCGCCCATTCACAAGAGACACACAAAACAAGAAACCCAGACTCGGCTTATCAACAAAATATGAATGGCGGAAACTGAGATCAACTGCAGGCCCTAAACTAAACCCTAAACGGTTGATAAAGTTGAGAAGTAAGGCTTGCAGCTTTGCTCAAAATAGGTGTTCCTTGAGAGTAGGCCGAAATCTATTTGACTGCGTATTGACAACCGGCCGACAGACAACTAGGCTATGTAGGATAAAATTGAAGGCGGACTCCCTCCCCCGCCCCAACAACCGATCGTACCCGGGTAGGTGGGATTGGTGGGTTGGTCGCCCATAAGCACCCTATGAGAAACATTGCCCTTCTACAGTAGTACCAGGCAGGGTGGTCCCAATTGACAGCATTAGAAGGGTGACAATCTTCCTCTCCATTATTGCTCTGTCGTACAATGGGTAAACCTTCCCAAACTCACCACTTCAGCCAAGGTTTTTTCTTCCGTTTTGGCTGGCACCGATGCATCGTCAGACTCTTGCTGTGTATCCAGTACGTCGCGAAGTTCCTGCACAACCGTCCTTGATACCATTCGATTTAAGCGCTCCTGCGAGACGTGAACAATCTGGCCGAGCTTCTGGGTGATCATCTCGACCTTCTGACCCTCCGCTATGTCCCTAGCGAGGGTCTCGTCGATCAGCTTTGTTTGCTGGATATTTCCATCTATGTTGCGGGTCAGGCGCTTGAGTTCCACCTGCGCACAAAGAACGTATACGTGTTGCATTCCTAGTTATTCTGGACATCATCAGCCAGGGTCACACAGGACAGCATTTGTCGATTGAAGGCCTACCACAGTCTTGGTTCAGCCTGGATAGCCGAAACAGGTATGTGTTTGAATACAGTGCTTCAGCTTGGCCTAGAGCAACAATTGCTTTGACACCTGTCGCTCTCACACTTCCCAGCCAATTTGCCGCGTGTGTACGCTGGCATGTACTGCGTCGCACCTGCAGATCGTCAGCAAACGTAGCTTTAGACATCCGCTGCGTCACTCCTTGCTGCCAGATGTCGCTGTCGAAATATTGACCAGTGTGTGAGTCTAGCAATGACTGTTCGGTGGTGAAGAGGTCGGCCCGGTTCTTCATGATCTTTGTCTTAGACTCGACGCTTGCCCTGAGCGCAGCCAAACTCTCATTCTTTGAACGAATTCTTTCAGCCTTTTTCCTCAGACCAGCCATGCTAACCCGGACTCTCTGGAGTTGTGTCCGAAGGTCGGCCTCTTTGGCACAGAGTGCAATCTTCAACTTCTGTATGCGGCTCACACAAAGGTCCCATATTTCTCTTCGTTCGTTCAGTACGGACTGGTATTTCCCCAGAAGAGTGTGCTGCCTAGCGACGGACGCATCAACATCCTTCAGCTCCTGCACCGAGACATCGCCCAGAATCCCAGCTGTAACCCCACCACGCGCGTATGTGCGTTGTAGTCTCTCTGCTTGGCGGAGGTCTGTTTCGAGCTTTTGGTATTGTGTTTGAAACGTTTCCAGTTGTTCGCGTCGAAGACGTTCCATCTGCATGGTCTTCACGATTCGCTGGCGCAATAAAAGCAACTGGTCCAGCAAGTCCTGGCAGGAATCCCGAGCAAAATCAACGTCATCATGCCGACCCTCTTGGAGCTGGTCATCAGCAACACTTGAAGCCACTTTTACAGGTTCATCGACGGTGTCTTGTTCCATTAAATCGATTTTCCTTTGTCGAAACAGCTCGTTGCGTTGAATGTGTTGGTCGGCGCGGTCACGGGCAAGTTGGTCTTCGATCAGCTTCTGGTCGCTTGCATCTCTTGTGGACGTTAGTTCAAGGGCACGCTCTTTGGCGAATGCCACGCTTGAAGCCCAAATCTCCAAATCCCTGTTCAATGTGCCGATGGATGGAGGGGAAAACGAACAAAACCCCCGCCCTGAGGACGAACACAAGCGACATGTACTGACCCCCAGTCTAAAAGAACGATGAGAAATTCCATGAATCACTTGCGCCTGAAGCAATCGCCCTATAGCCCCCCACTCCTCTTGCGGATATCACCGTGCTACGGTAGGTACTTTTTCTAACCTGATGTGTCTGTCCACGGCAGTACTCCTGTCATCTTCTTCCTGCATAGAAATGCACTCTTGTTGCTGTTCCAGAATTTCGTGTTGCTGCTTCTTGGCTCTCTTCAAGCGATCCAACTCTTGCTGCCTTTTTAGTCGTTCTTTCTTGGCTTTTCTCTCAGCGGCCCTTTCTTTTCGCGCGTCAAATTCACGTGCACGCCTCCCCTTCGGAGATGCGTCATCGCGCTTGCGTTCAGAGGGGGTCGAGGTAGTCTTGCTTTTCCTTTTGCCGCCGCTTTCGGTCTCATGGGGAATGCCAATTGGAGAATTGACTTCATCGATGAAAACACCTTCGCCCAAGTCATCGCTTTGCGAACAACTTGGCAACAAGCTCTCGCAGTCTCCAGGTATGCCAATAACGTCCAACACGTCATCCTTAGATTGTCCATCTTGAAAGTATCCTGAGCCAGTAGCGTGGGGAACAACTGGATTCATCTGGGCAGCGTGTATTGCCCCCCATATGATTTCCAACGTGCGAACGGGCGCCTCCTGCAAAGCTTCCCGCCCTGCCTGAATGGGATGCACCATGATCCGACGATGCCTGTTGCTGCTTACTAGCTGCTGCAGGGAGTCCACGTCTTCAGCGCCGATCGAGGAACCCAACTGGGATATGGGGGATACGTAAATGGCCGAGTCATCATGTGGCTGCAACACTCGGCTCCAGCGTAGCTGTACACACCCGATTTCTTACGGAAAATAACTCGTGGTATATCGTCAAGGTCTGTAATTGTTTCATAGGCCAGACTTCAACTTGATAGGGCGTTCTGCGTATCTTCGCTGAAAACTACAGCTCGCACCTCCGTGCTTGATCCCAGTGCATCTCTTGTTGAAGCGATCAGAAGCACAGGAACACTGACAACGCTCTCCAAGGTTCCCAAGGTTGCTCCACGCAGGACGCCGTCGATACACCCCAGCACAGGGGGGTTGATACTCTGGGTGTGTTGGTGTCGTGGTGTATTGGGAGCTGACTTTGAGCATTCTGTCTCCGGAAGCTCCAAACTTTGCCTGGTCGCCCAAAACTCTTTCAGCACGGTCGCACGGCCACTCTGGAAAGGAACAAATATCAAGGATATTTACAGAGGGGCAATGATGACGGCAGAAGATGCCTGCGATTGCTCAACATGCCCAACTCTTTCGGAACAGATTATTTGGAAATCAAGGACGAGTCAAAGGCATAATGGTCATGTGCAATCGTTCTTGAGTATCGCAAGTGGGGTTAGACAAGTGAATTTTTCATCTGGTAGGTCGTGGTCCATTGCGCACGAGAGATGGCCCGCTACAGGCGTGGGTCCACGAACGAGCTGCGCACATCTACCTCACCTTTTCTATGTACTCGGCCGAGAACAATGCTGTCACCAAGGCCTGCAGCTTCTCATGGTGAGCGCCCTTGTCAAGAGTCTTCTTCAGCATTTGTAGCTGTCTCTTGACCAGCAGGATCTCCGAAGTCGCTTTAGGGGACGCTGGAAAGGGGTTCATTAGCGCCAAAAATCGTGCGGAATCCCGCAAAGCTGCGAATTTGGCGTCCATCAAAAACGTACCTGCGAAATGCAGTATCGCGTTCCCCCCCGACCCAAGCCCGACGAACACAACGCACAGCGGAGGACTCAAGCATATCTCGCCCCGTTCCATGAGCTCCCACAACAAAACGCTTAGGTCACGAGCTTGTTTTTTGGCATCAAGCAATTCTCCGTCGGCCCACTGAGTACCGGGCAGGCCGAGGGAGCCGACCTGGCAATTGGCACATCAAATGAAGCTTGGAGTCACTATCTGAGCGATGACAGATAGAAATGAGTGCAGCACACACCCTGTCAACTTCACACGGCGGCCGGCACCCTTTCTGATCTTGGCTCTTCGAGGTTGTGCACCGCGTCGAACGTGGTGGACGAATGCAAAATACTTGAGTTTTTGAAATGTGCTCACCAGTAGAATTTTACCGCGATGATTGTACTCAAGTAATCCGCCAAGCCATCTCTCCATAGAGTCCAGAGTCGTAAACAAGCCTGGTACGGCGATAAGTAGGAAGGGCTCATGTTGGGCAACTTGAAGTCCCATGGCTTCCTGGGATGTGTGAAGGGCCCCCATGGCGCCAAGCACACCGCCACCATGATTTGGCTTTGCCACTGCGCGCGCAATCCATCGGTAGGACATCACGTTGCCTCCGCCGACATGTAGCTTGAGCTCGTTTCTGTTAGCTGTGGGTAGCGTCGTGTGCGCACCAACACTCGGCACTCGACATTGCGCTGACCGCGGTCTCAAAGATCCGCCGTTAATCGTGTGTTCGGGCCTGATGTGCAGTTCCAGTGGAGAAGTCAACACCGTCGGCCGCGCTGTGGTATCCAAATTTTCGTGCGCATCGTCGACCGGGGCCGGCACCTGCTCTGGCCGAGGTTTAAACGACTCGCCCTTGATACCGTTTTCGGGTTTCGTGCACGGTTCTAATGAGTTTGTAGAAACCCGTGGGCATTCTGCTTGGCCCGCTCGCATCCTCTTCGGGGATCTGCGTTTGAGCGAAATGGGGTGGCGAGCTGGTGGGTACCATCATGTCATGTTTTGCGCTAAACTCGGTCCGGTAGAGTTTCAACCTAAACCTGCGACGCAGAGAGTGCCACCGCTACATCAACAGCAACGAATCTCACCGTCGCGACTGGCGCATTAATTCCTGGAGCGCAATTCTTGAGGCTTGTCTCGCCCAACATGGCAAATCATCCCAACGAAATTTCGTTGACTTCGATGGCGACCTCTTCGCAAGGAATGCATCCGATAGCGTGCTCGCTGAGTACATGTTATCCTGATGTGGGGTTGTGGTTCTTGGCTTGCACCGCCCATCCTCTGCTTTTCTGTGGTGAGGACGGGCGACACGGTCCGATTTGTCTTCTCCCGGATGTAACTGCGTGGGGTCGACGCGAGACAAACCGTCTTCAAGTGGTGCACCTGTCTTTGTGGCCTGCGGCGATACCCTTTGAAGTTCAGGCGCCGCTAGCTGGTATGCAGGGGCCCTGCTTTCAGCATTGTCCTGGGTGAATGGTGCCATGACAGCTGGTGACTTTGCCAAGGGCTGCACTTGCACCTCTGAGGCATGGGAAAACCACAGCGTCCCTTGGCTGTCAACAATGTAAACTGCTCTCAAGAAGTCTAGACGGAGTCCGTGACACTGACGATGGAGTGATATCGGCGTTCCTGGATGTTTACATAGTGACATGTATTGTCCACCGGTTTTCGCCCCACCCATCACACACTTGGCCAACGCCTTCGTCAACATGTTGATCCCTACTTTTGCTGCTCCATCCCGAAGGTTTCCACAAGAGCCAAAAATTTCCTAGCACCCACGGAAACAGGAAACGAGGGAGAGCAAAGGATGAGTTGGGAGTGAGTGAAAACAGAGAGGAGAGGGAGGGAGAGAAGAGACGAATTCTATTGGGTACATTGCAGGCGTTTTGAGAGGTGACGCGTTTTCGCTAATCGTTTGAATACAGCACATATACTGGGCAACAGGAATCGCGAGTGAGAACCCGCCCGCCGCTACTCACATCTTCGCTTGCAACGTACACCCCCGACTCCACGCGCATAGGGACCACGAATCCTTGAAGTGCTACCAGCTTCTCTCTCCAAGAAGAGGACGGGGACGAATTCTCAGCCGACAGCTTGAGAACGAAGCGTGTGTCCATAATCTCGCGCTCACCGTCAACATACCACACCTGGGGTGGAGAGAGTACTTGTGATGAAGGTGAAGGTCGTGTACTGCAATGCGATACGACTGAGCGTAACGGTAGCGGTGACTGTTGTGTATCAAACTGTTTAGGACTCGTCAAATCTTAGAAGGAAGCTGGGATGTTCTGGGATAGGATCTCAGTTTACCTGAAAATATCGTTCAGTGTTTGAAATATCACTTTAGAGAGCGATTCCTTCTACAACTCGTCTTGCTCTCCGAAATAATTCAGAAGGACCTTCTGTGCGACCAGACAGAGGCGATGGACCCACTCACCCTAGACACACACCGGCCAATCAAACGACGTAAGGCATATTTCACCAGCCCGAGAGCTACACATAGAGTTGTTGGGGGGGTGGGTTAGCTCCGTGGGTTTACAAGAAAGGCCGCCGATCCAATCGCCGATCTGACCTTTGAGACCAACAGAGTAATCAGTAAATAGAAAGAGAGAGAGAAAAAAAAGAGAGACACAAGGTCTCCGAGCTCGGGGGTCACAGGCACCCTCGCCCTCAGGGTTAGGCTGAAAGAAAGGGTGGTGCGTGAAGACTGTGCACAGCATACCGAGGTCACGAAGCTGGAAAAGAGGTTGCGACTATGTTGCAACATGACGGAAAATTCGAACGTCGTACTTTCATTCAAGCATTTGCGGAGCAATTGATCGATGGACAATTATATCTCTACTGGGAATGACGACGTTAAGCATTGTAGTTCCAACTTTTCATAAATCTAGGTATGCCTCAAAGGGCCAGTGAATGGTTGAATGTTTTGTTCCCGTGGGGGTATCCGACGGTAGGCGGGTGTATCCGACGCGAGGCAGAGCCGTAACAAGCAAAAGACATCCGCCACACTTTGGTAGTCACACACATATATATCTACATACCCTGTCTTTTACACATGAAAGGCTTGCGAGGAGACTACTCCGCCTCAAAGACATGATCATCATCGAAACAATTCAATTGGCGTACCACAATCAATCCTACCACATGCCTTGACCATAATCCTACAACCATACTTGCCTCGCTATCCGTATGGAAGTTGCTTTCAGACAGACTTGATCTATTGCAAGTATATATCATTGCAGTTAAGTAGCTTTTCGTAAGGTCGATAAGCCTACAGCAGCGAAACAGACTTGCGCGAGCCGCGAGCAATAAAACTTCAGCAGCGTGGTTCAATATCAGTTTCTAGTTCAGCTCATCTAGTTTACGGCAATATTCCAAAAAAATCCGCCGTCAGTGTAAGTAGTCATGGTTGATGAGTTGACGTTCTCCGACAAACCCTTGTCCAACGAGTTAGCAATTCTTTAGAGTTGACAGTCCCGTGCGTAGATTTGCCATGGTGCAGGAGATTTGGGAGATTGAGCGTATTTTACGGTACTGTAACTCTACTTGCCTTTAGAGTCTCGAGGTCGCGACAGCGGCGTTGTGATCGAAAGACTGGCGCGCTCCAGTGGGCGAAGGCAGCCGGAAAAAGAAGCCTAGAGGCGACCGGAGACTGACGCACCGGAAAAAACGTCTAGCTTTTTGAGTGCCACGATGGTTGAACTCTTGCGTCTCAGGGCTGAGACATAATTAATTGTAGATAAGCCTATGTAGGAAGTATAGATAATCGACGGAATCGCGGGACTCGTAAATGGACAGACAGGCACGCCGCAGCAGCTTTTCATGCGTGCCGAGGGCGACAAGGGCGACAAGGACCTCTATGAAGTCTCTGCCAAAATATGCAAGCTTTCTCGTGCCCTCGAGCAGGACTCGTGACATCAGCAAAGACAAATTTATGGCGCGCTCGAGATGGTGCCCAGGCGCATTGGTACTTCGGTGGTGTATACGGCATCAAAGTTATTGGGTTCGTAGCATCTGCCGTCGTCGAGATATCAAGGGGTGATGTAGGTGTGTAAGTCCCGTATAATCTGCAGTCGTGCAAGTCGGGAAATCTCAGACGGCTGGCATTCGGAACTGATCTTAGGAACGCTACTATAATTCTGGAAAGTTTTCTTTCTTAATGTGACAAGTCCAAGGTCCAGTCGTCTGTCTTCACGTTATATAATTCCGAGGGCCGATTTTATTTGTTTATCTGACTTACAATCGGCAGATGACGGACCGTCCTGTGAGGGACTAAAATATGTGCCTTTGGCTGTGCGGTGAGTCAACACAACCCTCTTCTTCAATGTAAGATCCGTCGATTCTGTGTGAGAGGAGACGGAGATGGGAGACTTTTCTCACGTCTGATGTTGCCGCTGCTATCTCAAGCAACCAGGCATTTTTTCGCCAAGCCGGGGCACTCAAACTTTTGCGCGCACACTGTTGTAGACGATTGACGAGCTGTACCCGCCACGTAAGCCGCCCTGCCGGGCAGTATCCTCGAAAACAATCTACAAGCGGCTATATAGGGTGGAAGGTCGAATCTCAAAGCGCTTGTTCGCGAGTATACTTGAAAGAAGGAATATTGCATTGAGCCCCTCCTCGTTTCGAAAAAGTGTGAAGCATGCACCGCAGAGGAACATGTACAATTTGTGTAACCCTGGATCGGAGCTCTTTAGAATACTAGTCTATAGAAAGGACCGGTCGCAAGTATGTACCACGTACCACGCACGATGGATTGCTGCTCATTTGCTGGCTTGAGAACTGCTGCATCACATCCACAGCGTCCTCCAGACACGGCACCGTGTTCAGTTCCTGCACGCAAACAGTGCCATCATCTCCCGTGCTCACTGCGCACGGTGGAAACTCGCTGTGGCGCACGATGAAGATTGGCGCGAGATTTAATTTCATGCCATGCAGCCGTCGGAAAATCCATGCTGCTGTGGTGTCCCCGTCCATAGCTCCGTGCAACGCTGGAGTCATTGATACCATACACCACCACTACCAACAACAACAAGGCGTTGACCAGTTGCACGCACTACAACAATGTCCTTCCGTGAGGTGAGCGGCGGCGGCGGCGTATCAAAATAGAATGAATCTTCCTGGTTCCCGAACCGACACCGGAACCTTTCTTGCCGGCGGGATCGGGAGCGGAGGCGTTGACACCTCAGAGACAGGCAGGGAGCGAAAAGAACAAAAATACGATTTGCGCGTTTGCGTTGCACAACGACGCACGTCTCCCCCCCGTACGCCACAGCTCCCGCTACCGACCTCGTCATTTACTCTAAGGTAAGCAGAGGGAAGATACGTCGCGCGATGCGATGTAGCATGTATATGATAGCTCTCACGGGTACAAAGAACTAACTCTACACACAAATCCACACCGGACCGGCATGTTTACCCCGTCCATGTGTGTGCTTCCATTCTTCACTTGTGTCTCTCTCATTCCCTACTGCTTTCGTGGATTCCAGATCGATCTGTAAAAGATGGGTCGTGGTACCGGAAAGCCTTTGGCAATGCTCGAAGCGGCGCTGGACGCGGCTAGAGAAAAGCCGGGAACTTCTGCTTCTATCGCTGCAGCCGTCAGCGTTCTAGCAACCGTGATGCTGCTGTCGAGAAACAAGGTACAACGACGTCAGCGGTTGAGGCATGGAAATGGTAGCTTATCCCAACAGGGAGCGCGAGAAGAGAGGTTTTGCGAGTTTTGTCCTGGTGCACCTTCTGTTTCATCTTCCCTTGCGTCTGCCTTAGATGCCGCTCATTGACGAGAAACGCTTTTCTCACTGTTTATGTTTTCAAATTCGAGTGAGGGTCACGTCACGCACGCTCCTTCACGGGGTCGTGCCGAGGCATCGCAGAAAACACGCCCAGGAAGAGATTGTGTGGAGCCACGCTGTGTGCGTAGGGAACGCGATCAAGCCTTGGCCCTCTTATTCCCAGAGTCGGCCATCCAAACAACCTGTTGCAGAGATCGGTTGGTTGGCTTTGTCGATTGTTCTGTAAATGTCACCGTCGGCGGCAGAACGGCACTTTAATTTCCCGCCTCCATTCCTCCATCTTGATTTCATTTCCGTTTCGTGAAGTACAGTGAAGTTCCAGTGCCTTATGATGGCGCCTTCGAATTGCCAAAACACCATACGCATATGATGTCTTAGCGTAGCTCGCGCGAGTAGGACTTTCCGGGCCCCTGCTCCCTAGTGTAAGTCAATGTTTCCGCAAAACCGAAGGTTGCGTCCCAAACAACGGTGCCGTCCTCTCTTTATATTCATACTATAACATTTTCACTCTATCTTTATTTTTTCTTGTTTTTTTATCGGTTTCCTAAGACCCATGTTTATGGTCGCCAAATCTTTGAAAAAAATCTTCAAATGTTGTCAAACATTTGCGCGCGAATATCTGCCAGAGGAACATTTGAGTACCGTTTTTATGGGCAAAAAAATCTTTATCGTGTGGTTTTCTCGAAATGCATCGCACGTGCGGCGGGAATCGTGGTCTACTGCTACCAAACGATTTGTGACAGACAAACCACAAATTCGTCATGGAAACTGAATGTAACGAGCTCGCAAAGGGCTCCCCACAACCCTTGATGCACTGAGCTGATGCTGTGCCCGCCAATATGTGGCGATAGCGCTCCGTGCGTGCGAGAAAAAATGTTCTCGGTGTCAAAAAGAGACCAAAACGTGCGTCAGCGCTTCCCAACGGCAAAAAGTCGGCCGCTTGAGAGGACATGTGAGTACAAAACTATCCAGCTCTCGTCCTCTAGACCATCGATTCATGTTTTGTCTTCTTGGGTGTCTTCTCCATCAACGACTCTCATCCGGTTGTGCGTGGGTTAGCAGTGGCCGCGCTCAGCCGGCAGGGAGGCACATCGTTGTGCGCGTAACGTTGTGGACACAACTTTTTTTTCGGTCTATTTTTTCACTTGAATATAGAGGGCTTGTTCCTCCGTCCCAAAAAAGACTTTTTCAACACATCGAGTTCACAGCGACGCGCCTCCCTGCCTGTTGAGTACGTCCACTGCTGAACCACGCACACCCGGATGAGAGCCGTTGATGGAGAAGACATCCAAGAAAACAAAACATGAATCGATGGTCTAGAGGACGAGAGCTGGATAGTTTTGTGCTCACCTCTCCTCTCAAGCAGCCGACCTTTTGCCGTTCGGAGACACAAACCACGCTTTCTCCGTGCCCTCCAAACCACCCCTGTCTGTTTGTTTTTTTGTGCACGCTTGACGAGCTCCCGCCATGTATCAGCCGGCAAAACATTGACACGGTGACTCTAGGGTTGCCCGGATCCCTCTATGAGCTTGCTACGTTGAGTGTGCGCTGCGCAGTGGTTGGTGTTTAGGACGGAAGGGGCGGTCGGCTACTAATCTCGCCGCTCTTGGGAAACATTTTCGCGACCTGCCCCATTTCAAAATGTTTGAGAATATTTTGCCGAAGATTTTCTCCCATAAACAGTGAAACAAAATCTTTGTCCGCAAATGTTTGAAAATATAAACATTTTCGCAAAGATTTGGCGACCATAAACATGGGTCTAAGAGGCTCTTTTCTCGACCGGTCGGTGCGGTAGCTGTTCTTTTCTTCCGAGTGGTTGTACCCTATTTTTGTTTTGTTTCCCCGCGGCGTCGTATGTGCCGGGTTTTTGCGACGACGGGCTCCCCATATTTGTGGACTTGTATTGTAGAACTAATGTGAGAAGCAACAACACAAAACTTCGTATGCATACCACTTTTCAGTATTTTTTTCTGTGTAATATTTTTACTCCACGCAACGCATACACCATCCAATTGCGCACCGTCCAAAGCTTTTTTTTCCGGTCACCCCGGTGGTTCAGTTGATTGACTAGTTTCTAGAAGTGCGGGTTTTGATTCATTTGTAGGGGGAGAAACAATGCAGTATCTATTGCAGAGGTTTCACTGCTGTAGTCGGGAGGGAACACCAGATACATGGAGAGAACAGCCTTCTCGCGTTAATTATTGAAGGCAACCACAGATCGCCCCGATGGGCTGGTGGTTGATCTCGTAAGCCTACTGGCAGGTCAGAGTTTGATGCTCTCTCTGGATTGTAGAAAAACGCTTGCAATCTACGATGAAAACGATCAAGTCGTGAAATGAGTACACGAATTGTCGGTCGACAAGGGAAAAAGAGGGAAATCTGAACAATGTTCGCTATATAAAAACTACAGGCAAGCACGCTGCAGGAGGAACGGTGGGGCGATCAAATACATGTATTAGTAAAAGTTCCTGTGTGACCCCGGCTGATACGTCAAGTATGTACGCCGACGGGGTGTAGACGTATTACTGGCGCCAGAATAGACGGAACGACCACACACACTCAAAGGGGTCCCAAGATCATGACCTTTTTTGTCAATCAGCCGCGCTGGGACTGACGTCTTTTCGTCTTTTCGTCGGTCACCGGTTAACATGGTCGATGCTAACAATGATAAAAATACACACAAGCAGCACGTGGTGGAGGTTTGTGTAACAGCAGTGTTAACCTTCCTCGTGTGTGACCCCGGCTGATGCGTCAAACATACACTGGGACGAGGAGACTGGCGCCCAGAATATATTGGAAGTTTTTCTGTTTTTGTCTGAAGGGCCTGTTGATGTGCAGCGTTTTGGTCATTCGGTCAGTCTTCTCCTCGCGACACCTGTCCTTGCACTGTTTTCTTCTCTCCTAGATAGTAACAGCGGCTGCTGGCTCTGACTGCCGATGCTCTCACGCACCGCACAATACCGCTTCAAGAGGGTGTAGAGACAAATCGAAACAGCCTACAATGAATTCAGTGGATATTCCGCCCATGTTGAGTTGATCGTTGCTCCAGGCCCGAAAGCTTTATGCACAACAGCGTTTTTCAATGCCATGCCCCTGAGAAAATATGCTTTTGAACTCATATGGAGACAGAATGATATTTATATTGGATAAAAACATGTTGCTGACGCGGTAGGATGGTGAAACGGTCTATTTAGTGTGGTACTCTAGTCACAGGCAGCAGCCGCAGGCAGCCAATGGTCAAACTGGTGAACTGGCTATCCGTTGAACGCATGGTTTCACTACTGTGAGCTCCTCCAGGTGAACTAAAGTTGACCGCGTCGCCGTACAAAATGTCTTACATTCGTACACCTGTGGTCACAATTGACAAACTTTCCAAGAACGAACCTAAAGACTTTTTTGTGGCATTAACGTGGCGTGTGTTCGAATATGGCAAATGCAAGTATTATAGCTGAATATGGAACAAAGATTAGAGACCAGCCAACGTAGAAAACCTCTGCTGTTGCTCTTTTCACTTCGGCGATTTACCGTAATACAGTATGGGACGAGCTGTCTGACCAGATTTTCGAAACCTTGGCTTGGTGTTTTGTCTGCGGCGCACCGCGCCTTCATCAGCAACGTACAGTAGTAACTACTGCCGACCACACGTGAGCGTGTCTTTGTGCGCCGTTGTCAAGTGCACATGTGCGCAGAATGGTAGACTCCGTCCCTCCCCCCTATGGCCCTGAGACAAGAATGTCATTACCAGGTCGAGGTGTAACTCTTCCTCTTGGGCCAGAAAATCAGCCTACGTGGTTGGTTTTCCTAAAAGACCGAACTTTCTTGGTTTTCGGTCGTACCGGATCCTGCTGCTATTTCCTAAATCCTACCTACGTTGCTTCCGTCACATGTGCTCAACGTCTTATACTGCTACATTTATTCCCTACAGTGTTCAACATCATTCCCACATTCAATTTCTTCCGATTGCGGGCTGTATCAAAGCTACACGATACGCAGCGATGCCAGTGTCTCCCTGTCGATCTGACATGATGTTCCCCCCTACGAGTGAGGACCGACACCCAAAAGAAGCGAACGCCGCACTTGACTTTACTGCCAAGACTACATACAGCACATCAAGCAGAAAGCTCCTTCTGGCCTACGTTGGGGGTTGTTGGCCTCCTGGGAGTGCCTGACCCTCTTCTCTACTTGGTCTACATCTGGCAGCACCCATACATCAACGGCAACTTTCACGCTGTTCGCGCTTCCGTGAGAGTGAAGGACCACGCGATAACAGTAGTTGTGACGCGAAATTTGGGCGAGGTATTGCCCCGCCGCTCCCCCTAATAAACAAATGTACACTTCGGGAGGCAGGGGTTGGTTGGGGCACGGTTCTTTCGCGACGCTTACCCTAATACCTCTATTTCTACCGTTCCTCTTTGGGATATCCATCTCTCATGAATCTTTCGAAAGCGTTTTAGGTAAAGTGTGCTGCTCAACCCAATTCCTTGTTTTTGGCCACAATCTGAGCCTCGTTTCTTGACAGTTTTTTCTCGAAGTTTGAGCCAACATTGATGCATTGAGATCGACATACACAACCTGCTTTTCGAACAACGACGCTGAGGTGTTTGTCGGTTGGATACAGGGTGCACATCGTAACGCAGTTTGATGCACGCTATTGAGGGCATACCACGATTCAATTCATCGCAACTGAGGGACCCCCACTTGCCGAGATCGGACGAGACGGGACGAGACCTCCTGTCCCGGCCGGTGGCCCAGCCGAACTTGTGTCCATGTAAAACTCCACCACGCGTTTGGTGTCGGATTTATTTGCCGAAATGTACGTTGACGTCCAGGGATGTGCCCGTGCGCCTACTAGTTCTTGACACCGAGTGGGTTTGGCGTTTGTTTGACTCTTCGATCTGCTTGTTGGGCATCATTTCCCTTCTGCCCTCGTTTTGTTTTTTTCGTGTTGAAGCCCAAGCGCGACGGACTTGACTACGAGGGAATTGCAGGCGTCACGCACATGCTCAACAACACCGACTCCGTGCTGAAGAAGGATGATGTCAAGCAGTCCATCGTCGATTATGAAGAGCTTTTTGAGGGCGCTAGAACAGAGGTACGCGAATCATGATTTTTTTCCGAGATCCTGTTGACCCACTGCTTCACGTTCCGCATTTCAACAACCCGCAGTCGGTACGGAATTCTTCGTACGAATCGCATTGCCACGTCGAGAAACCTCCATGCGTAGCTTATGCATGTGGCGTAAATATGTATGCATCATGTATGATGTGCGCATGATCAATATCTACTCTTGCCGGATTCCCGATATTCATACAAGCAAATTTAAAGCGCAAAATGTAGTACGTGCCGCATACCGCATGTCATCCCCCGTAGAGTCTTGCTGTTGACTACGCTCGCCCGAAATATTGACACGTGGCGCAGCTGCAAGTGTCAGAATTGGTGCGGTAGTCGCTGCAAATGCCCACCGCCATGTCGTCTTGCGTGTTCAACCCATGTCATGTATCCGTAGTCAAATACTAGGGACTTCGTGAGGATTGTCAGAATTTTGACGCTCTACGACAGGCCCCTCATGTGTACGCTCAATCGAACGCCGCTGTTTCTAACGCATCTTAATGAGGAGTCTTGCCCGGCCTGTTGAGAAGCGGGTAGACGCCCCCTTGACGTTCCGATCGAATCCATGCGTATTTTAGTGAAAACACGTGCTGTCACGCCCTCAAACTATTTTATTCAAGGTAATAAACCGACTCGATCGAATATTTGTCTGGGGTATCGAGCCTCGAACGAGATACGCTCATCAGGAGATTCCCAATTATGGTGGGATGGGTGCATGACGTGCGGCACATGTTCGCTGCGTGTACTTGAGTTTCTTGGAACATTGGTTTCATACCAAAGGTTGTGTCGCAGACTTCACCTGCTCCTGCTAAGCTATGCGCTCTCCTGCTTCCTGTTGATTCTTGTTGATGGCCAGCACGGAGCTATCACAACGGAAAAAAGCATCAAGAGGCGCCAAACAGAGTACCAAAAAATGGTCAACAGGTGGGGGCAAACGTCGTTGCTGTGGGCGGATTTTTTTGTGCACTGCTGATTGTGCCGCGGCTCGCACGTGTGCGGCGCCTCGGGACCATAAAACCGTAGTGCATAGACAACGAGGCGCAATTTTGCGGAATCCACAGTCACTTGCTGCCTTGTCGCTCAGATGTCTCCATTCTTGTCTCTCATCATGTCGCATCTGCCAGTTTCTACAATCTCGTGACCGACTTCTACGAGTATGGATGGGGACAGTCTTTCCACTTCGCTCCACGTCGGAAGAACGAGTCTTTCCGCGAGTCTATCAGGCGTGCAGAGTATGTGCTGGCCAGTCGTATCGAGGTGATGACACTCTGGTGTGCTGGCATGCGCAAACCCGTTTTTTTTTCGCGATGTGAACGTTGAATATGCATGTACTGACTGTCTACCAGAGTGTAGTAGGTAGCAGTGAAGGGGCCCGCGAACGCAGCGACTGAAGGTGCTTGCATCTTGCGGCGGTGACGAGGCATTTACTTCTCGTGCAATGCAACTGATTCAACGCCAAAACTGAGGTATGGTGTTTTCACCGTCGCTCCGTTTTGGACAACATCAGGTGCGACCAGGAAGCAAGGTTCTGGACGTCGGTTGCGGCGTTGGAGGGCCGATGCGGAACATCGCCGTCTTCGGAGATTGCGCAGTACAGGGCATCACGATCAACCAGTACCAGGTGCACCATCCTCACCTTTTCGAACAGTCGCCGCTGGGTTTGTGAAGACTCGCAACGACTTTCATGTCAGGGCCAATTTCATGGGAGCAACACCCGCCCCTTGTTGATGCGTCATTCGCTTGGTGTTGCGTGGTGGGCGCCGGTTGTACCCGCAGGTGAACGTGGGAAACAAGTACAACCGCGAAGCGGGCTTGTCGGACAGCTGCTCCTCTCGCCAAGGGGATTTTCAAAGTCTCCCCTTCGAAGATGCTGAGTTCGATGCGGCGTACCAGATAGAGGCAACGTGCCATTCCCCGGACAAGGTGACCACGGTTCAAGTCATGCGGCTGGCGAATTTTCACACGGAGGACAGACCCGTCATCCTTCGTGATACAGGCTTCTATATGTTGCACCCGGTACATGATTGTGCTGCTTTTGGCCAACTGCTCACTTCTATGTTTAAACCAGGTCTGTACGTACTTGTCAGTAGGAGGAATAAATCGTAGGTGTGTGCGTTGTTCCACAGTCCCCTACTGTTTTTCTTATCTCCCAGGTCCAAGTCTTCCGGGAGGTGTGCCGTGTCCTGAAGCCTGGGTGCATGTTCGGCGGTTACGAGTGGGTCGTGACGGACAAGTATGAGCCCGATAACGAGGCGCATGTAACACTGAAGGAAGGCATCGAGGTAGGGAACGGGCTGCCCACGCTAGCCACGCCGGCCATCATTAAGGCGAACCTCGAAGAAGCTGGGTTTGAGGTGAGCGGTCGGTACGCTCGTGTACAAGCACCTCTTCACTTATTTGCGTCTTGAATGTATTCTGGAACAGGCTTCAAATGCTGGATTATTGGGCGGCACTGTCGCTTCCACAATGCTCCAATATTAAATGCTCAATGCAATAGATCGATACACGCAAGATGTACGATATGTTGGGTGTGTTTCGTTTTTTTTTTGGTTCTTTTTTTATTTTATTTTTGGGGACGCAGTATTGGAAGGTTTGTAATATATATATTCCACGTATGGGCCGCATGCATTTTTGATGGGAAGGAGAAATACGGGCCAAGGCGTGATTCGAATCCACGGCGGAATGACACACTATTTGTTCGCGGTGATATTTTACCATATAGACTCGTTTACTTGCATACGGAATTCAGCTTTCTATGCATGAATAAATCACAAGAGACCCGGTTGATTTTTGTTTTTCCCCACTAGACGAACAGAGAGAGAGAGAGAGAGCGGAAGCAGTGTAAGGCGAGACCGCCTTTGTTGCTGCGCAATAACCTTCTGTGTTTCTTGTCCGTTGAACGCGTACCAGTGGGCTCGGGCTGTGGCGCACTTCGTTTTTCGATGGTTTCTCCGTCTCTCTGCCTGCACGAACAGAACCTAGAGCCAAACTGTATATTTCATACAATTTCAAGTCGAAAAGCAATTGTTCAATTGTTAAACATCGGGCACGCGATATTTCATTGAGCGGCATACGAACCATTGGCGTTAGCCAACTCTAGTGGTGGTGTTTGTTTCGTGTATTGTATTATTATACCACATGTCCTTCAACCCCGCCGTTGCTGTGGCAAGTGCGCGAGTTTTGCCCTTCTCAGTGCTTTGAGAATACGCCCCTAGTCTTGCACATCCCTTTGTTGCCGGCACGGCGGCGGGAAGTACCACTTCACCGTCGGCCAGTCATGGTAGCGCTACATTCCTCTTTCCATATGCAGTACGTGATCGAACGCCCATGACGTGAATTTGGCATGCGTGCGTTCTAGGATTGCTGAACTGAGATGCACCCCAACCTCCAACTAACGTCATTGTCGCAGGTAGTGTACGCCTACGATGCTAACGAGCATACCCACTCGGAATCGGAGGTTCCTTGGTACCAGCCTCTGTGTGGGAGCTTCTGGAGCATCTCAGGATTCCGTCAGACACACCTTGGCCGTGTCTGCACGCACGGGCTTGTGTGCACCATGGAAATGTTGCGTATCGCTCCCAAGGGTTCCGCCCAGGTGGGGGATTGCAGCATGCCTTGGTGGCCGTTTCTCGTGCGGAGCCGTGTACGCGGTTTCAACTAAGTTGCTCTCCGATACCTTCAAGTTCTGATTCTTGCGTCTGAGTACGGTTAGACAAGAGTCTACATCGGTGTGTTCGCCGGGGATATTTGTTCCATCCTCGCGGCTACAGGATGACCCTCTAACTTTCTCCGTATCCTTCACCCACTCTGATGTGCTTGTCTGCTTTCATTGCTGTACTCAGGTGTCAACGCTTCTAAACAAAACAGCGATCGACCTCGTCAAGTCCGGACAGCTCGAGATCTTTACCCCCAGCTACTTCTTTGCGGCCCGCAAAAAGTGATACACCCCTTGTGGGGGTCGGTAATTGATTCGGCGTTAGTAGGGAGTTCGGGGTTTCCTGAGCCCCCCGCGTGGATGGAAGACTTTTCTGACCCAAGGGATGACTCCCTCTAGTTTTTACACGAAATATCCATTGGGTTGTGACGAGCAATTTTGAGATAGTGAACTCTGGCTGTGTATGTAGAGAGGTGAACGGCCGCGTTGGTCCAGTCAGTCATAGTTGTATGTGTATTTCAACGTACGGTGTCGATGAAAATCTGTCGAAGGTCGCTGCACGTGGGCTCATGTCGACCCTTCTAGCATAGGACAGTCAAGCACACGAGGTAAACTTTTGTTTATGAACATGTACCTGGTAAATGGTACTGGTATGGGCCATAACCGCACGAATGCTGCAGCTATCGGGCCGCTCTTGGGAAGACGTTTTACTTTCGGGGTCGTTGCAGCAAGATCGGTCGCGCGTACTCCTCTGGTTTCCTTGAGAACGCCCAGAGCCGCGCATTAGGTTCTTGTGTTGAACAGGACAACACCTGGTAGTTCTCACGGGTAGGGGGTGACCTTCATCCGAACAACCAACACCACCCTGTGGCGATGAGTGAATGCAGTGGGTGTTGTTCTCTTGTTGTTCTCTTGTGCCGGTTAAACGACGCCGGCCTCAAGAAAGCAGACGGGAAACACTCGAGAGTTAAACAAAGTGCCAAGGCCTGGACCTGGGGGGGGCATTCATGGTCGAAGGGGGCTGCGTCGTGTGACTGCTGCCCTTTATTCGTTCTGGACTGTCCATTTGTTTTGATCCATGTGTGCTTGATTTTTTGCTGTCAGTCGTCTCTCTTCGTTTGACCCATCCATGCGCTATAGACTATGTCTCGAAACGACGTGCTGGCTTGTGACTTTTTTTTCCGGCAAGTTCCGAAGGCGTGTAAACCATCAGTTGTGTAGTGCATGCGCGTACGTAAGCGGAGTACTGCTGTATCTCCCCGGGATGGACCAAATTAATACATGCACTGCTGTTGTGTGGCAAAGCGGTTACTCCGCGAATAATGCGTTGTTGCCAGAGTTGTAAAATCCGTCGCAACAGCTACTAGTCTACTGCTGTAAGCGTGATGCATGCATGTCTTAGACTACATACAGCAGACATGCATGCATGGATGTGCAGCCTATGTGGGGTCACTACGAATATTTCCGCGTAATTTACTGGTGAGAGTTCTACATGCATATTCCTGGTGAAAACCGGATTCATCTTGGGACTTGGGACTGCTGTTGGAGAAAGCGCATGCTGTCATTCCATGGCCAACCAGGGAAGCGGTACAACATGCTGACTGGACGTCTGGACGTCCTTTCTTTGTGTTGCGGACCCTTTGTGTGTATTACGCTGCACCTCACGCCTCGCTGCCTTGTTAAACGACGCAGCTATTTGAAACTTGCGTTTGTACTCCGATGAAGGAAAAGAGTAGACTATAAGTACGGCTGTCGACCTTGTTGTTGGGGTGTGGGGGTGTCACAAATTGCACGACGACAAAAAAAAAACGTGGGTACCTCGGAAAACACGTTGTGTCTCCCCGGCAAAGCACACCCAAGCAGCACAGCACAGGCGTGGGAGCGTCGAAACGGCAGAGAGGCGAGATACAGAGGGAGAGGGGGAGAGAGAAGAAGCAGTGCCAACGTGCCAATAGCAGCAGCGAGGATGGTGGGCTCAAAGGAATCCATTAAGGTTGCAGGTCGGGTCGAAAGCGTGGACATTTCGGACGACATGATTCTGGTGGCGACATCCAACCTCGGCGGCAACACTTGGGATTCATCGCTTCAAGTGCTAGATTTCTCAACGAAAGAGGTGGTTGCGTCGGTGAAGCAGCAGTCCGGCTGCGCAGACGTCTGCTGGGTTAAACCTGGGCGACGCGTAGTCTCAGCAGGAGACAATGGGGATGTGAAGGTGCGTGTGGTTGGCTGGATTTGAAGTTGATGCCCCGCGGATCAGTACTGACTTCTATTCAGTGTCCTGCAGCACAGCTATCACATCGTGGTTACATTCCCCACGCCCCTCGGCTAGTCTATTATCCATACTCCAGAGTATGTATGTATGATGCATAACGAGTTACAAGCACATGGTGATTGAGCGATACAGCGGCAAAGTATATAAACTTCCAACAATTGGACCACAAGAGAGCCAGCGCGGCCACTCAACGACGAAAAATGCCGCGTTACTTTACTTCTTTTGCTCCCTGCAGACTCTTACCTCCCCTTGACTGCTGTTGTGTATAATCTAGAACTTGTAGTAATTTTCTAAAAAAAAAATCTACTTTATGCCCTTCTACAATGTGCAGGATTGGCCACCATTATTAATATTGTGATAAGAATCAACGTGCCGAGCGAGTATCGTCGGCGTTGCTTTCCTGTCTGACAGTGTTTTTTTTTTTAGCAGTGGCCAAAATCGGGTGCACCCGGTCAGAATACGGCCATAATCGGGTAGCCCTACAACGCTGCTGGGAGCGACCGCATGCCACCATCTGATTGGCCGACGCCCGCCCCTACCCGGCCTTGGCCGTCTTTCCACCGGGTGCACCCGATCTTGGCTACTCACCCCCCGGAGGGGTACCCGGTTTTTCTTTCCCCTACCCGAAAATGGCTGGGCTGTTCGACCAAAACCCATGCACATAATCACGGGTCGGACGCATACCACTGGCCCTCATTTGTCGCCAATAAGCAAGTAGCGGGAGGGAGAGAATATGTCTATTTTTTTAAATGAGTCATGTGTCTGTCGCATCTCGTGAGGGAGGGGTTCATCCAGCTCTTCTTCTTGATCACTTGCACAGACAGACCATTAGCCGTTTCCCCCAAGGGAGACTTCCATCGCCGGCGGAGGGTCTGCCTCCGCCAGGCGGGCCGTCAGAACGTCCGAATTTTCGACGGCAGGGCGTTGCTGACGTGTACTTGTGTGCATGGGTTTTGGTCGAACAGCCCAGCCATATTCGGGTAGGGAAAAAAAAAAAAAAAAAAAAAAACGGGTACCCCTCCGGGGGGTAAGTAGCCAAGATCGGGTGCACCCGGTGGAAAGACGGCCAAGGCCGGGTAGGGGCGGGCGTCGGCCAATCAGATGGTGGCATGCGGTCGCTCCCAGCAGCGTCTTGTAGGGCTACCCGATTATGGCCGTGTTCTGACCGGGTGTACCCGATTTTGGCCACTTCTCTTTTTTTTGCGGTTCGCGCGGTAACTTCGCGGAATAGACGGCTGATGACCACCCAACCAACGCTCGCTCGATCTTTGAATGAAGTGCCCGTGCTGCATGTGTATATAGGTGGCTCGATATATGTAGTGGCACCCTGAATAGTATGGCGACACATAACCCAATACACCTCTTAGTAGGGTTGTAGACTGGTGTGGTGTAGTAAAGCCTACCAGACTTATTTAACTATAGCACTGCCCGCAGAGGAGTTCTGCGGGCCGGTCCCAGTTTGTTTATCTTCCACAAATAGTACTATTTCTGAAGTTATTCTCATAACAATAGTCTCGTTGAGTAGGGCCGATTTTTGTTGTTGTGACACTGATCGCTACTACTGTATGTACTACTGCTGTGAGAATACCTTGTCATTCGTTTTTGATTGGCGGCCACCTCCGGCGCGTACGGCGCCTGCGGTGGCCGCGCCTTGAACGGGGGGATACATATAAAAAGGAAGAAGAAGAGGTCAAGAAATCGCCATCTCAGCCAGCTACACTTGTAGTAACACTGATCGTCTATTCGTCTACTGCTGTGATAATAGGTCAAGAAATCGCCATCTCAGCCAGCTACACTTGTAGTAACACTGATCGTCTATTCGTCTACTGCTGTGATAATACATTATCATTGATTTTTGAATGGCGGCCACCTCCCGCGGCGTGAGAAAGTGTCCGTCAAGCGCACTTCGTTTGCTGGTGCTTTGTATGACCCGGCAGCGATGTACGTTTGTTAAGCGGCCAATGGTGCTGGCGTCGTTGAGTATGGAGGTCGTTTGTGTCCGAGTTTTTCATCGTGTCCTATCAAGTAGCATGTTTGTCGCCTTTGACTTGATTTCGAAACGAAGCGGAGGGAGTTGAGCCTGAACGAGAAGGCGTGACATGGTCGGAGCCAAATAATTAACTTGCACGTGGTTCGCTCACACAGGGCCCAGTTTTGATTGAAACTGGGAATAACCCTAACCCTATCCCACACCAACACCCCAAGCCTGGTTGGTGTGAAGTGGGTAGGCCTAGGTCGCTGTACCGAGCTACTGGAGCGAGCCTCCTCTGCACCACCCCTGCCTCGTGTGTACACCACGCGCGAGCATGAATGCTATGTTGTAACATATTACTTCTAGGATTTAGTTTTGTCATTCATAGTGCTATAGACCCCTTAATTGTGTGGGTTTAATACTGTCGCACTAAGCGCATACAGTAGCCGGTCACCCCGGTAGTCTAGTGGAAAACCGCTAGTCGCAAAGGTCGTGACCCATCTTTATGGGAACAGAATCTTGGGTATATATCTTTGCTTTTTGACCCAAGATTTGCTCACAATATATCTCCGCAATGAGTACATCGACCCGAAGCCGATGACACCCGTGCACGTATCCCATTACGTAGCAGGCGTACCGAGGCCAATCCTTGGGCGCTGTCATCTGCACTCACGGATCTGGTTCGGGTGCAAACGGATTGGGTGTGGGATGATTCGATTAAGAGATAGAAGCGTCGCACACGCCAGAGCTGTGTTGGCAGAAAGTTCCTCTTCTTTTTTGGTACTTCAAAATAGAGTACTCTTTGAACGGTCCCTCCACAGAAGAAGCCACTAGTTTGTGTGACCAGCGATGTTTTCATCTCTGGATAGAAGCATCCCACTACCACCTCACTTGCATCCGAGCGAGAACAGTTAGTGGAGGTGGCAGCATCGAAGGTTTGGCCTCGATGCGTTTTCTACGGAGTGAGACATGTGAACGGGGGTCGTCCGCGCTCATGTTAGACGTTTGTGTTCTCTGGTGATGACGCACGCGGAACGAACTAGGGCAAATACGATTTTTGTTCGCGCGCCTTAGTAGTTTTCGTCAGCTGTCGGCGCGCGTGGTGTCGACACAGTGACCCCAGGGTGCGTTAGAAGTCTTTGCGATTGTGCCAAGTGCAGATTTCATGGCAATGTGGACGATTAGGTTGACTGACCGATGGTGATCTCGCCGCACCCAGGCAATATTTGTTAGCCCGCTCCAAGATTTGTCAACAGGCTCGTTTTGACAGATCTTGGGTCAAGATTTGCGCGAAAGGGCAGATTTTGGACTTTGAGAAATCTTGACCAAGATCTGACAGAAGATTCCGCGCCCATAATTTGTGAAATTGGTAACTCTTGGCCAAGATCAAGATTTACACCAAATTGTGTTCCTATAAATTTGGGTCTGAGTTCGAATCCCCCATGGGGGTGAAAAATTAACAAAATTTGCGGGTGAAAGCGAAAATATAGCTGAAACTTCGACGTTAGCACCGTTGACGAGGGAAAGGGACCGCTGGGCCCTTCTCGCGATAAAAATAATTCAGCACGCACCGCAGGAGGAAGGTGGGGCACGAAAAAAAATAAAACGAAGAAAAAAAAAGCCCTGGTGTTTATCCCCTCCTGTGTGACCCTGGATGGTTGTAGTTGTACGAAAAAATACACTGAAAAGTGTAGTACTCTACAAACACTGAAAAGTGTATACACGTCTCACCACGAAAAATGGGGGGACTGTCGCCATTATAAATAGGATGAAAACACGCACACTTACTAAAGACTTGACTATAACCATACTATGTCCTATACAATAAACGCGTTGACCAACTTGGATTAGGCACCCAAAAAACCGCGTGTGTACGTGTGTCTTGATTGTTAGCATCGACCGCGCTATAGGGCTGACCAATGAGAAGACGTCAGTCTCGGTGCGGTTGAAAACACAAAATACTTCTTCATGTGTATGTGTGTGCTTCACAATTTTGAATCCACGTCCGCTTGAACACCTGCTCGCACCACACACGCAGTGGGCGCCACACGCATCGTGCCAGCATGCGCAGATCTAGAACTGTGTACACTCCAAAACAGACCACGGGAAGAGAAGACGGTACGCGTTTTTCGCGCTGGATGCTGCTGCACATGAAACTGCTCAACCAAGACTCCCTACTGTGGAAGTAGGCACAATGAACCGCTGTCGGTAGCGTGCACATGAAAGCTTCTTCTCAATGTGGCAATAGTACCCACCATTGACATGGTAATAGTGGTACTATTGCCATTATGTCAAAGTATGGCACAGCCCTGAATAGTGGTATATACTCTCCTCTTGCCCCTGCATGAGAGGCAGGGGACGACAGAGCTTTTTTTACGCAGCAATAGAGACCTCCGGCTCAAATCAGACCATCACCCTCCTCGCCCGCGAGCAATCGACACGCGTGTGGGGTGTGCTGCCTTGCACACCCTGTCTGGGTGCGTGCGTCTGCATCCCAGCTCAAAACGTTACGTCTCTCTCGGGAGACGCTCACGACGCTCCACTCAGACCCATTTCGGTTGGTGGCAAGGTACCTCAATGCTGTGGAATATGCAGCGTCGAAGGTTTCACCCGATGCAAGCATCTATTTGGGAGATTTTGGTGACTTGTTCGCGGGTCAAGATCCCTGATGGTGACATCGTGACATCATCGTTGAAAGTAAAACCTTTGGACAAATAGGACTGGTCCCAGGAACGGTGTTGTTAAAGATGAAGGTGAACCCTTCCGCTGCGAAGGATAAAAAATGGTACTGGAGGTAGCGATTAACCCAGCCAGGGAATGTGGAACAGCCCAAGAAGCTATTTTCAATTTTCTCAGTAGGCTGCAAAAGCCCCGGGCAACTGATTTTGAGCCCGACACACCTAGAAGAGGCGACGGCGCGCGCTTCGATGAAGCAGCATGAATAGCGTTGTGGGTGCATATGCCATGTGAGCTTCTCTGCAGTTAGTTGTCGGTAGCGAGAAACATGTTTGAAACGAGCAGGCGGGAAAACATCTGCTACCGTTTTAGAGGGTTTCGGTATTGCAGTTCGCCAGACTTCCTCTTCGCGGAACACGTCCCCGGGAAATAGATCCGTGACTGTAGGCGTAGAAAAAAGTGCCATGCATGCCTGGTGCACTTCGGGCTTGCGCGGTAAGATACTGACGAGTCTCCTGTGTTCCTTCAGGGAGCGTGAGAAAGAAATCCACTTCCGCCGGAGAAAGATATGCCGAAGAACCAGCAACATCCAAGTCTTGCTTACACGCCGAGGTATTCTTACATGGCCCGTACCATGGCTCAGGTATACAAGATGGACGAGGAAGCACCAGCGCGGCTGGTGGAAGTAGCGAACCTTGAAGAGCACGACGATATTGTATCGAGTGTGGCGGCTTCTCGATCGCGCGATGGGCTCGTGTTGTCGGGTGGCTACGATCGCAGGTACGGCAAGCGTGTGTGACCGTGTTTGTAGACCAATGCTGGCCTACCCTAGGGGCGTTGGATACTCGTCGTACAGGAGATTAATTTATTTATCCTTGATCGTTCGTTCGTGGCTTGGCCGAACAGTGTTAACGTCTGGGACATCGACAGCGACAGGGATACTTCGCTAGATACCTTCACAGGTGGGTCCGTCCTGTTGTTGCTACTTTCGAACGCCTGGTACCTTTCCGTCGTGTACTCCGGTGACAACAAGGAGCCAACATTGCGGAACATAAGCGCCTTACCTGGGGATAGTGTGCGTGTCGTGTTTGTTTGTTTGTGTTGATTTTTGTTTGTATCCTTCCCTACGCCAATGGGGTGTGTGGGGTGGCGGATGTAATCGGCGGAAAACTCAGTCATAGTTTTCTTCCGGCTTCTCACGTGGGCGCAGGTTAGCTTCGTGGTACATTTTATCTTAACTATGCGTATACATCCCCGGCCCTTCCCGGCCTTTTAACAACAGAGAATAGTAGCGCTTCTAGGCAGGACTTCCGTCTGACCTCATTCACGCTGATCGCCAACCTTGAATAGTTGCTTCCCTTGCTTCAAAATACCGTGTGCTTGAGCTTACGTTGTTCATGTGCGTTCATAGGCGATCCTTTATCAGCCACCAAGCGGAGTAGACGAACTGCCAACCAAACGACTTGAATAGATTCCTGGACCGGTTATTCAACTAGACCACTTTATCCTGCCAATTTTGCTTCTGAAATGAATCGTTTGGACTATTTTAGTTCGGATCTACTGTGCACGCTCTGATTGCAGGCAGAAAGACGCAGGCCTGCTTCGCTGCACGGAAAATATACAGTACAGAGTGCCCTCTCTCCCCCTCTCTATCTCTCCCCCTCTCTCCTTCTTTCGATCTGTATCTGATGGCCTGCTGCCGGACTAAAGAAACTTTGGCAGCCAGGCCTTTCTAAATCATGCGGAAAGGCACGATAACTGGTTGGCTCCTAAAACCAGGCGACTGGTGGAGGTGGTCTCTGCACAAGTGTGTAGCTGTAGGCGCCAAGGAATCATGGGTTCACCTGTGTTTTTCTGTTTGCAGAGAATGTTCTTGGTGGGCCCGTCGTGCCGAGCGTGGAAACACGCGCGCAAATGAGATGGCACGTGAGACGTGGTCTCGATATGTCTTGACCGAAAACAGCAATCAGAACTATTCAAACATCAATCAGGAGCCATCTCACTGCGGCCCGGAATTCTGGTTACTGAAAGGTTCGGATAATGAGTTCCGCTCCCACGACGGCCGGCGCTGCCGTGTAGTTGTAGTGATTGCTTGTGGAGCAAAAGATCACTACGAAGGTCCTTCATGTCGACCATCTTGGCTTGGAAGCCCCCCACCATGGGGCTAACATCAACAAAGATAAGGGTTTTGGGTCCAGTTTTCAGTTCTCGCTCTCCTAGAGAGCGCTCTTGTAAGCTCATTGTATCGACCATGGCCTCGTTTGACTTTGATGATATTCGTCAGAGCTGTTGGCTTTGCCCCCACCGGTCCAGGCTAGTTCGTCCCATGCCACAAACACCATCCTCAGAGGATGTCCGAGTCGATCCACACGCCCAGCAACGCCTTTGCCATATCCGAGATGATGTCTTATTGATCGTGTGTTCTTGTCCGGTTTTGGGGCCTCATTTTGACTCCATGTAGAACCTGGTAGAGCTTTTGAACAGCTGTGTTTTATTGACTCGACTTCAAGGTCCCTTCAAAGGGTCTGTTGCCAACTACCCAACGAGTGGCTCAGATAACTCCAAGTGCCTAACCTCGAAATCTAGTTCTCGTGATGCCGCTTTTATAGGAACTCATCATCAATTCATTGTGTGTACAGAAGTTTTACTCAGATCTCGACATGTTTGCGCTATCGACTAGTTGCTTTCCACCATGAAATTAAGCCCCGCTGTCCAATCTACAAACATGCCAAGACAAGCCTGCCAACGAGAAGTTCGGGGCACACCTCTGCCGCGTGCTCCGCGATAGATTGTTCCGCCGCGTTTGGGCGGAAACAAACATGATTTGTTCTTGTTATTCGAGCGCACATAAGTCTAGTCTAGATAGCTAATTGTTGATCACTCTCTTTTTGGCACACATCATCATCATCTGTCGTTGATCCGTGCGGCCGCAGGTGTTGCGTGCGACATCGAACGCTCTATGTAGGATTCAACAAGAATAAAAGCGCGCGTACTTTTGCACACAGCACCGATTTGTTGTCGTTGCGTGCATACCTATATGTGAGTCTTTAATCTCGTCTGCGCTCTCCCCGTCAGATTGCCATGACTTTGAAGCCCCGCTGTGCAATCTACATACATTCTTCTACATCGTCTCCCTCTTCGAGGCCAGCTCTTAATATTCTGGATTCTTTTTCGTTGTTGTGGGTTCTGGCGAGACTGTCAGGAACGAACTTCAGAACGATGGCTTCACTCAAAATCTGTTTCCTAAGAATTTGTTTAGTCCGAATGTCCCCACACTACTGTACCTTTTAAGCACGGTTGCCCGAGGCAAGCTGCGATACCAATTCGGTACAGCAGGTTGTCCGTGTGCACCGTTCTTCGCGGTTGATCAGAACACCAGGTTGTCGCAACACAAATATGTTTTGGGTGAGGTCTTGACCACGGAATTTCATGCCGGTTGGTTTGTAGAGAAGGTGCGACTGGATATCGAGGTTCAACACGACGTCCTAGCGTGAAGTCAATGAAACAGCAGGTCCGGAAAAGTTAGTTAAGCGCCCTTGTTTTCGATATCGAGGTCATTAGATTTTCTTATCGACTTTGAGTATTCCTTGAGTCATCCACGAGTTACCGGATCTCATGGGGCATTTTTTATGAAAGGGGTAAATGAAAAGCACACAGGATCATATCGTGGGAAAATATTTCAGGTATTAGGGATAAAGCATGATGGTACACAAGTCGATGAGACGTTGTTGCAACGCCGCTTTGGAGGCGTCGGGCGTGGCGGTCACTGCTGTTGTGTTGCATGTTTCCAGTGTGCACAAATAGTGAGTTCCGAGTGTGTTATTTGCGTTTTCAGTTGCATGCATATTGATCCTCTCGCGCAACCAAAAGACAAGACACAAATATCAAATATCCGCACGCGACGAAATAGCGGTAGGATCATGGTCCAAAGTGCAAGAAGGCCACATGCCACATACATTGGCATCTCGTCTTCTGCACACGGATGGATTGAGAACACATAATATAGCGTCATCGCCGATATGATCGAATGTAGCATTGTTCTCCACGCCGATGGATTTAGAATACAATAGGATGAACGTATCGGGCAGCAAGTTTGCCTTATTTCACCACCAGCGCATTCTCTTCTCCTCGTGAGTCTCTAAACACTGTTTTTAATCCTGGGTGCTGACACTTCAGCACTGTGTTGCTTTCTCCGCGCTGCTGCTGCTGCTGCTGCCGTCATGAACAACCAACCGTCACGATCTCTTCCAATGCAAGCATAAACCAACAGCTTTGTCGTCGTTTGATTTATTCGGCCAAAGAGGACAGCTGACCAAGGCAATCAACAAAAGATGGCCCTAGAGTGAACTATAAGACTTGCAGCGAAGTCTTGCCTGGAAGTCAGGGCACTAAAAGTTAGCCAATTCCTCCAGCACATGAAACACGTGTTGACTTGTTCGAGTAACAGAAAAATGTCTTCCTGCCCGAGCAGTTGAATGTTGTACTGATCAACTTGGAAGTAGAATATGTTCTGAGTCGATTGCCTTTGTTGTGCTCCCATGTACACGCTATGACCTGAAATTGTGGGGCAAGGGAGATAATGGTCCGTGTAAGTGGCACATGGAACGATATTCACGCCGGGCTTTCCCCTGCGGGTGGAAAGTTTATTTGGGTAATTTTCCATTGAACCCCTGAAGAGCTGGTGCCGTAATTATTTTTACGCACTCGAAGAGATCTCCCCCAGGACCAGTCTCCTGCATTTGTAGGTAGTTCTCTTCGTGATATGATGAGGTTTCTGCAGGAGGCCTGTCCTGCTGTCTGGTTAGCCTTTGTTCTTCGAGCACTCCATGTCTCCGTGCAAAACACGTCTCACCCAACGGCTTTCCCTCCTTGGTATTCAGGGCATAGTGGCTATGTGACCGGAGTGGAGTGGAGTGCTGGACAGGATGATAGTCAAGTCTTTGCATCATCGTCAACCGTGAGTCAATCGCATTACAGTGAGTTTCGTGCGTTGCAAATGACTTCGCCAGCTGGAACGCTAGAAATTTGCCATCAAAGACAAGATAAAACAAAACGATGGTTACACACCCATGATCACCTGTTGTGCCCAAACTGATATTCGATACATGAGAATCATCATATTGTTCTTGTACCGGTTGGTGTCGCATGCTGTGTGTGCACGGAACGATACCATCGTATCGACCCGCGCTTTTCTGCACCGCAATTACTCGATCCAACACCGTAGGCTCGAAGTTTTCGTAAGGGTTTTCATGACAACCAAGCTGTTTATTTTTTAACTTCACACTTTTTTATGACCCAGGACTGCAGCGTGCGAGTGTGGGATCGCAGGCAACCTCAAGGCTGCTTGGCGTGTCACTGGTTTGGCGTACCTGCACTTTCGATTTCGTGGGACCACTGCTCCGGAGAGCTTCTCGCTGTAGGTAATTTCGCGTGGATGCTGCTCTCTCGGATGCCCAGAGTGTGCCGCAGATAATCGGAAGACGTCTCCTGTTCTCAAGTAGTGGGTGCCTGACCCTTGTGTAGGCGACATGGTATTCGAGCTTACCTTCGAGTTGAACTTTCCGTCGGACATATCGTGGTCCGTTGGACTCTCTTGATTTCATCTCAATTGTTGGGTGAAGGCATCAAGCGGGCTCATTTTCTTACCCTTCCCTCCCTTCGGCGGCGACATATGTACGTCATGCGACTACTGAAGGTTGTGAAGACGGAACGGTGGCTGTCCTGGATAGACGGACACTCTCTTCTCCACTGTTCACAGAGGTGCTGAACGGTATGCCAAGTATTTATGAAATGTCACCACTTTCGCGGTATTCACTCATCTGCCCCGAAACAAGTGGTTCCTCTAGTCAGCATTGTGCTGTCCGCGTCTATCACGTGGCCGCGTTACAACCGTTGTAGCCGATGCGAGTGTGGTTGGTTTTCTTTTCCTCCGCGTTAGTGCCCATACAGATCTTGCGTCTTTTCCAGCAACTGCACGCATGAGCCGTCTAGTACGTGATTGTGCTTGTTGCATCTGTTCCCTTCTCATCGACCGCTCTACGTTCTGCACTCTCCGTGTACTAGCAATCGCATACAGGTCGTGTGAATCAAACCGCGTTCGGGCCAGCTCCTTCTGGTGGTGATTCCGAAGTTTCTGGCCTACTTGCATCTGTGGGAGATGACGGTGTCTTGGCAGTGCAAAGGCTCGGGGATAACTCCAACCACAGCCGGTACGATCATGGAAAGCGGCGATGATTTAGTGTGACCTACCTCTGTTTACCTTCTTGACGTCAGGGTCATGACCAGTCAGTCCCTCGAGCTATGGCGCGTCAAATCCGTGTCACGCAGAGGTTTGCTGCTCGGCGATGCCTTTTATTCGTTCAGCATTTAACTCCCTCAGGGGTTTTCACGAATACACGGTTTTACTTCAAAAGTACGAAATGAGCCCACACACCTCACTCACCAACAAGCGAACGCCCAACCTTGTAGCTACCAACTAGAGCCCATTTGTGGGTGTTTTTATATTTCATCATTTGTACCGCTGGTGCCGATTCTATCTGCCGATAAACAGAATACTCTTTTGTGTGTCTTGTGGTCCATTCTCAGGTCTGCACTGCACACTGACTACGCTCAAGCCCTCAGCTGGCGTGATGAAAATAATTTGGTCAGCGGCGGGTGGGATGCTGCACTCTGGGCGGTGGAGTTAGAGCAGACAAGGGTGTACTCGGGGTGAATGCCTTGAAATGTCTGGGCAATGTAAAGACGAGAGATTATCCCTGAAAAGACTATCTCTCCCTGATGAAGATCCAATCCTACCGGAAGGCGTATCCTTGATTATAGGTGTGCGCAGTTGAAACTTTGTCTGGTTGGCGTGTGGCAACCACCATCTTGGAGTTAAGTTAACCCTTCCGTAACTACAGGCCGATTCAGCTCCGTTCTCAGCTCCGATCACTTTGCGTGCCGAAAGATCGCCGTTATGCCTCGGCTAAGAGCAAAAAACATACATCGAGACTTTCAGGGAGACACAGGCAGCCCACCCCAAAAGCACGCTTATCAGCAATGCGCACAGGACTCACATAGTACAATACTATTCACCCATGCATATTCTCTCTGACGTGGGGCAGATATCCTTTCCCGATCCAATCTACTGCCTACCGGTACTGTAAGATTCAAACGCAAAATACCACCGGAGGGTACATACAGCACCCTGATCATGTGATCAACCCGGTGCCGCATCCGCGGGGGAGAGCAGAGAAAGCGCACACCGGAGCCGATACTAACGTACTGCCTCGGTGCTTGATGTTATTGTGATTGCGGTGCGTGTGGTTCCCAGTATTGGGAGTGAAGGGTGCTTCGTCTGCTGTGTGCAAAATTTCGCTCAAAGGCAAGGGTTTTCGGGACTACAGCTCCGATCACATCTCTCTATTTACAGTACAGAATAGTAAAATTTATCACGATATTTATGCATTTTGTGCGATAGTGGATGATGGTCTCGATTCTCTGATGAGCGGGCCGTTTTTTTCGTCGATCTGGCGCTTCTGTGAGGCGGTTTCCCGTCAGCGTCTTCGCATCTAGCGCCGCTAGCATATGCGCTTGCCGTATGCTCTGTCCAAGGATGAGGTAGAGAAGATGTGCCAACAGGTATTGCTTGCACAGGTACATCCTCTGTGCGGACGGTTGCTGTCGGAGACAGGCATGCACACCTGCTCAATCTACTGCTGCTGTACAGTAGTCTATTTCTCTCCGCATAGCTGCTACTGCTGTACAGCAGTAGTACTACTGTACTCCTGTTCGTCACCCTTACATATACCGCGTCCCCATCCCTGTGAACCCCACACATGGACCCACTTCTGCACCATCCTTGCCGCCGTGATTTATGGGTGTAAACGCATGCATGCTTGGAAGATCTTTGACCGCAGAGAGCCAGTTGTGGGGAAAAAACAAAAAAATTCAAATTACCCCAGTCACGTAAGGGTTAAGTACCACCATCTTACAGTAAGTTAAGTCCCTGAGGGCCAGTTTTAAGTAAAAATCAGAAATCACTTTGTCCAACAAACAAACATAAAACCTGAAGATTCTCACAGAGTAAGAGGTTGCCAGCATCTCTTTCTTTGGTGGACCTTTCATACGGCGAGGAAGATGGAGGATGTTTTTCGCCGAAAAAGGGGTGAACGGATTTGAGGTTTTGCACGCAGATATCTCACCGAACTATTGAGGCGAGTTGTGTTCGGAGTGGTATTCCGAAGGTTACGGTATGCCAAGCCTGGGATATCTCGCTCGGGATATGATAAGCCCCTTTCGGAGGGCCTGTGTTTTTTCCGTCAATTCTGAAGCCTATTTGCTTCGGTTTTCTGTTGCGGAAATTCTCAGACCTATATTCGATTTTGACCCACTCCCTTTTATTCACTTGGTTTTAGAGTAGGCGATCTCCGGTTTCTCCTCTAAAAGCAAGTTGTTTTTCTTCGGGCGATGTATCTCGAGATCCCATTGACAGATTTTCGTGTGGGTTGGAAGAGGTGTCCCTCCTGGCCCCGTCCCCCCCTCCTGCAAGTTTGGTGCAACAGCTCGTCTCTGTTTTTTAGAACGCATCCGTTGTTGTTGTCATGTTCGTAGATCTCTCCCGTTCGATTGATTCACCGAACAACCACAACAAGACCCCCCTCTTCTTACTTCAGGACCCCCACAGGTCGTCAACAACGCCGCGCCCCACACGACGCGAAGAGTCGGCCTCAGGTCGACGATGCAGGTGGCCGATGTGCACCGCAATCGACTGCGTCAACCATACATACATCTATCTCCCGAGAACCATGCGTGGAGCGTTGTTAGTTTTTGGGTCGTTTTTGTGGGGCAGGGAGGGGCAGAGCAGACGCAATCAGTCACGTTCAGGTCGACGATGCAGGTGGCCGGTTTGCACCGCAATCGACTGCGTCAAGTTACATACATCTTCCCGAGAACCATGCGTGGAGCGTTAGTGTGTGGGTGGTTTTTGCGAGGCAGGGAGGGGCAGAGCAGATGTTGCATCCTCCTCAGGAACGAGGCAGGGAGGGGCAGAGCAGATGTTACATCCACTCCTCCTGAGGAACGTGCACCGACCAGCAAAGGGTTCTTGTGCACAATTTACTATGGACCGTTCCAACCATTGGCCTCCATTGTGCTGCTCTTTCGACGGGATACATACATACACTACGCCGCCGACAACACGGGTGGACGCACAACAAATACTGCAAGTACTGACTGAGAACCATACAAGGGCAGAAGAAGAGCAGATAGCACACACACACCATACGCAGAGCAACACCCCCACGTCAACTACGACGCACCCCACACCACGTTATTTTTTTCTCTCAGACTGTCGACCACAGCCAGCCACTACTCTGTCTGCAACAACGGAATTTTTGTCCTTCCAACCATCGTCGTGCAATAGTGGTCCCGATATAGTGGCATGTAGTGGCAAGAGGAAAATATGCCACTATTCAGGGCAATGCCACTATTCGATATAGTGGCAATAATGCCACTATTGACTAGTCAATAGTGGCATTATATCGGAAAATAAGCTTTGATGCTTCCGCTACGGACAGTTGTTGTTCCTGGATCTTCACTCGTGTGTATGCTCATACATGTATCTAGGGCCCGCCCTCTTTTGTTGTGTGTTCAGTATCCGCGTGAAAACAAACGCAGGCGTCTGCCCATCACGTGTGCGTTGACACTTGATCGTCTTGTGACAACGAGGCCTTTGGCGATCGCACCCTACCTTTGTGTGTGCAGGCGGACTGCACAAACAAAGTACCACTATTTTTCTTTGTCTTGTCTGGCCATCCATGATGGGGTTCAACGCAAGCAACACACGCATCCATGTTGAAACATCAATGTACGCGAAACCAACTGGAGCAACCAAGTTGAAAACGCCGAACACTTCCTACTCCGGCGCATCAATCCCAACCGTCACGATGCTTTTGCACCTGTAGGCGTCAACCGACCAATCAATACCACTACACTATGACCAACTGCGTGGCGGTCTAGGGGCGTGTGTGTGCTGCGAAGAATGGCATCTTTACCTTACGGAGGAAATGCCTGGCCTCGCCAATGCCACTCGACTCCGCGTACTCTTCTAGAGGACCAAAAATCCCAGGTTCCGCGAACGATGGCGGAGCCTTCATCCCTTCACCTCTCTCACTCTCAGAATCTTCGGTGCTGTCTAGCTCTACCTCGTTGTCACAAAATGTGTCCTCTTTGATGTACATGTTGCCAACGCTCTACAAAAAATTCTCCCTTGCGTCTTTGGGCAGAGCTTGCGGTGAAAAACAGGGAGGCTCCGGCGTTTTGAATTGCCACTATTATTGGGGGTGTGAGATGCCCAAAATGCCACTATTGAGGGCCCCGTCCTCAATAGTGGTACAATACCACTATATCGGGTTGAGAGTGTGACAAGAGATTTGGATGCCACAATTGAGGGCATTTCACTATTCAGGGTGCCACTATATCGGGACCACTACTGTACCTCAATCTATGATTCTCAACTGCTGTTTTGACGGAATACATTTGCATGCCCAGCACGACTGACTGCCAACAACCATGGTGAGTGTTAAAGGTCACACGGCCTGCTGACCTCTCTTCTCGCACACTTCGAATTGCACGCATCATGTACGCCCAAGCTTGTCGCCTTTGCGGCTCTCCTTTTTTCCCTCTTACTGTGCAGTCCGGTTATGAAGAGGAAAACTCCTCACACAAAACTGCCGGCCCGAAAAAATGACGAGTTAAACCCAACAATGACCCGCTTCTTTGCGTCCGGAACGACCTCCCGCAACAATCCTCTCCCTGACGATTCCGTTTTTCGCCTGGGAGGCGGTACGCGCCAGGGCAAGTCGTTCCGTACAAGGAACTTGAGTCATTCCTATGTGCATTTATCATCACGGAGTGCACGCGTCACCCCAGACACGACAGGTCTGCCTCTGACCTTCTCCGCACACAATCGGGTTCTTTTTCTGTACCATACCCCGATGATCTCGAACCTCCGACAACACCTCGGGAGTTGGCATACCCTCAAATTTTCCCGCCGCCGCTTCCGTTTTCAAGCAGTACAACTTCCGCCGCGGGAAAAAAAAACGAGAGACAAAAGGCTTCAGTTGAGGCCGGGGCTACCCCCGGGCTTTTATACATCAACTACCCTGCAAAAGACCGTGCGATGCCATGGCTTGTAGCGCACGGCCTGAAGACACGCCTGAAGTCAGGCAGGGCCTAGGACCAGCATCCTCCCCCCGTGGCATCGGGGGGCTGGTCAATTCACCTCCTTGGTGATGGTAAACAACACAGTGTATTATTATTGCACACGAGTCTCGTCTCTCTCTCTCTCCATTTATCTCTCTCTCCTGCCAACATGCCAACCAGGCAGATAGAAACCCCAATCTACCATATCTTTGACATGAATACATATCCAACGGCAGCTTCCCACCGTGAACTACTGCTACCCAGGTGCGCTGCGTCCACAGGCCTCCACACGTAGCAGGGGGAAGACCGCACCTCATCGGCATCGGAGGCTATCGCCCTCCATAACTCATACCAGAGAGGTTTGGAGGCATGATGTGCCGAACGTATCCTAGAAAAGGTGCACCCCGAAGAAATCGAACTTCACAGAGCGGTTGAAGGTTTGGTATTTTTCTTTTTTTCGACCCATCCCCTCCCCAGCAATAAGTTTCAGACGCCGACAACGCAAGCGACCCCGATGTTTCAAAGCGAGCGATAATCTCAGGGGTGTAGACCGGGCTCTGCTGGCTGTATTACCTGGGAACTGTTGATGGTACGATGATACCCCCTTGTTGTCCCATGCGGGGGCCTCAGTTTCCGAACATACAATACTCGTCTCTTGTCGTCCCTACTTAGGGGCCCGGCCTCCTCCCTGACACCCAGGGGAGACCGCCGAGGGGGACCAGCTGAGACATATGGTTCTCCGGTCCATAGGGCAACCAAGGGAGTCGGTTGAACGAAACGAATCAAACGGTTGAAAAGGCTGAGGCCAGCGCCTCGGTTTCGTCGTCCGTGTTGTTGTCCGAATTGCGTTGGTGAGACTCCGATTCCGTGAGGGTATCCTCTATTTACCCAATCGTCGTTGTCCGTGAGGATATCCTCAAGCATGGCACGGTTCTCTCCGTAATAGTTCAGCTACGTTGAATATGAATACAATTCGTTCGGCGTACAATGCGTGCCGGACGTGTTGTTTGGCGTGTAACTCTGGATGCCGCTTGCGGGGTCTGTTTTGGAGACGCTGCGAGCATCTATGGCCGAGCGTGCTCATGTCGTAACCTTCTCTGTTAGCCTTCATTGCGTATTCTTGATCGTACCCAGGTGCTTCGGTTCACGGTTCACGGGCATGTGGATTGTAGACCGGGCTTTCCTTGGGGCTTGGATTGTAGTACCGCAATTGTTGATGTTCCCCCCTTGTTGTCCCATCCCGGCGAACTCTGTGCCTTTCCTTTAACCCTCTCCACGGGGTCTTGGTGACATGGGTTCCGCCCTTTACCCTGGGGAGACTGTGCCTTGGGGATCAGCTATGGGAATATGGCTCTACGGTCCGTAGGAGTGTGCTTAAGAACTTGTATTTTGGCTAGTATTTGACTCTTTCGACCCGACTGTTGGTTTCGTTCATTGTTTGAGTCAGACACGTGTCACCGCCGAAAAGCGCGGTCCGCAACTTGCCCGGGAGGGTTTGAGCGGCTGTCGGCGGGTGTATGAGCATCTATCTCCCCTGTGGACAGGGCTCTGCTGGGGGCTCGGATATGGTACTTGGAGATGTTGATGGCACCCCCGTGCTGTTCCTTCCGGGGGGCTTCTGTTGACTTCTGGGCATATGATATACTCCTCTTTTGTTTCCCCTTCTACCCCTCTCCATAGGGGCTGAAGGGACCTACCTACCTTGCCTCCCCCAGCAGTCGCACCGCGTACATACTCACACCACAGTGCTGTTCAGTTTTTCAGCAATACTACAGTTGATGTTCGGCGGGCTTTAGCTGTGATTCCACGAGGCATACATGCGTGTTGACGTGTTGCAACAAATAACTGATCCTTGATGGGTCTCTCTCGGCCAACCAACTTTTCTTCTTGAGCTGTCTGTCCATGTCATTGTTATTCGCATAGCCCGCCCCTTGACCGATCCGGAGTTCAAAAGCCGATCTCAGCCCACACTGCCCACCTCGCAGAACTGGCAGTATTTTTAGATAGCTGAGATGTCTTCAAGACCCCTCGACGTTGTTTTAGCAGCTAGAAGTATCGTGTGCTGTGGCGCGAGAGTCAGTTTCTGCGTTGTTGGCATGGTGGGAGCAGGTTAACTTGTTGTCGAGGGTCCTTTCCTGAAACGCTCATCATCAAATCCAACACACCCCATCGTGCACCTGCATCATGCAGCGCGCGTTCTATTTCTACTGCTGTTGCACAATATTTGCTCTGCAATCTCGCAGATGAGCCACAAGAAGCTCTGTGTAGTCGAGATGATTCCATGACCTGTCTGAACTGATTTCGGCCTGTTGTAGATTTGGAATATCGGGCGCGCAGCCTGTTGTTGGAGTTGGGCCTTTCTTGCCGTTAAAACACCAACTTTTAGTCTCTAGCGGTTTTGTCTTGTGGATTAATAATGTCAATGGAAGTCACATGGTCAGAGGAAGGTCTATGGAGGCTCGGGGCTCCGCGGTATAGATGTGTACGGTTGGGATGATACACGGGATCGTAGTCTTGTGTCCGTGGACAGGGGCTCTGCTGGGGGCCCAGATGTGGTAGTTGGAGATGTTGATGGTACCCCTTGTTGTCCCATCCGGGGGGCCTCTGTGAAGTATGAAGACAAAATATTCTCCTCTCTTGTCTTCCCTTCTACCCCCTCTATAGGGGCTTCGGGGCCTAGTCTCCCCCCTCAAACCCTCTTTGTGTCTTGGGTCACACAATTTTAAAGGACTATTGTGTGTGATTATTCAAGTCTATCTTTATCCTATCTGAAACCCCTTGGTAGAGATCAAGTCCTGATGGAAATGGATCAATTGGCAATCCTGGCAAGTCTATATGTAAAATATTACAAGGTCGGGACGTCGGTGCCAAGCCTCCTCCCGCACGTGGCGCAAGACCACATGAATATACATTGCCCTAAGAGGGGCTGTGGGCCATATTTTTGATGGGCAGTTTCATGACGCTCGTATTCCTTGACAAAAAATCGCGCACGTATTCTACATTGGAGCCAGCTCGAGCGGACAACAACTTGCCGGCGAAAATCATATTTCATCTTATCTTGAGATGGCAGATTTCCAATGAGAACCGATTGTGAATCCGAAACAAAACCACAAACAAAACATGTTCAACATTCGCTGACTGTTTCTGTACATTCTTCAGCTTGCCGCGCATTTATGTTGTGGCGTGTCTGTCTTTCGCATGTGATTGAACTGCGTGGAGGCCGCCTTATGACAGCGTGTTGGTGGTATTTCTTCGCGAGCTTGTTCAACGATGATGCCGATCGTTTCGCCATGTATGTTTGTTTGGTATTTCGAGATATTTCAACTCAACCCTGGAAGCGCCTCGTAACAGTTTTCAGCGTTCGTTGCCTCTGCGTTTTGTTTTTTTTTCATCATTTTCCTTGCGCGTGGCAACTTTGCCCATTTCGCGTTGTTTGCGGTGTGTTGGTCATCCATCCATTGCGTAAGGTTCTCTTGTACGCGTGTCTAACGGACTTAGTCAATCTTGTGTGGTCGTCCGACACGTGCGTGTTTGTCGTTTGAAGCGTCGATGTCCTTCACTGTTGAATAGGGGCATTCTACGTTTTGCATGGGAGGTTGAACACTTTGCGCTGACTGACGAATTGGTGTGGCATGATTTAGTCAGGCATCATATCGCCGTGTACGGGTGTTTATCATTCACAAACACCGCTGTCGTTTTCTTCTTGAGTACAACCAGGTGCCTACTGCTGTTTGAGTTCAAGCTGATGAGTGTCTACTCCGGTAGTAATAAGCTTTGGGGGCATTGTGGACGCAGCGCACCTGGGTAGCAGTAGTTCACGGTGGGAAGCTGCCGTTGGATATGTATGCATGTCAAAGATATGGTAGATTGGGGTTTCTATCTGCCTGGTTGGCATGTTGGCAGGAGAGAGAGATAGATGGAGAGAGAGAGAGACGAGACTCGTGTGCAATAATAATACACTGTGTTTACCATCACCAAGGAGGCGAATTGACCAGCCCCCCGAGGCCACGGGGGGAGGATACTGGTAGGCCCTGCCTGACTTCAGGCGTGTCTACAAACACTGCACTGCGGTTGCATGCGCTAAGACTTGCCTACAGCAGCAGCGCTTCACTTCGCCCGTTGCGAAGTGCTTCACTTGGCCCGTTGCGAAGTGTAGCAAAGGTAGATCGGTACTGTTGGACATTGCGATGACACGAAGAGTCACAGCAATGTAAAAACAGCGAATAAATGAATGAATGTGAAGATGAGACAAGCCAGAGGCAAATATATTTCAAACTGTCGTTTTTGATGAGTTTCAGAATTGGTTCGTGAGGCGTTTCCTGCACGGAACGCGCCCTCGGGGAATAGAGCCAGTTTTGGCGGCGTTGACCGTTAAACGCACGCGCCACGGAGGCCTACCCAGCTCCGGGCACGAGCGACAATGTACCGACGAGCCTCCTGCGTGCGCCTAAGAAGGAATCGCGGCAAAAGACTCGCTGCTGCGAGAGAAAGAAATGCCGAAGCATGAAAAGTGACCCATATTTTAAGTATGTACATACAGTCGCCTCCGATGGGTGCTATGCGTGTATCCCTGTTACTCTTGGGCCCTCGTGGACTACTACTTACTGATGTGAGACGCGAATGCGCTGTCTACCTTGATGTGTGATGCGGGCGGAAGTGTGTTCGTCTTGTTTCTCGTGACAGCATCTTTTTGTCTTGCCTGAGGAGCCCCAATGGGATAAAACATGGGAGATGGGAGCCCTTGGGAGACCGCGAGAGAATCCAATAGCAACTCTTTAGAGAGGTGCCATGTTGAGAGAGTGAAAATTTCTGTCCATCGCAGACACTGGAATGTCGGGCACGCAGCCTATTGTTGGAAAGTTGAGCACTTGCAGTATGTGGCTTGGACTTGAACGTTCTTTGTTTCGATCATCTTTCCTTTTCACAAAAAATCAAACGCACGCGGAATTGTTGATTCCCTTGTTTCTCCAGCGGGCATATCCAGCCAGATACAACGCCGGGGCTTGTCAAGAAATCGACGCCACGAATGAATATAATATAACCAAACTGCGAAACAATCCAATCCCTGTTGTAATTTGCATCAACAGGTCCACCTACTGTCAGGGGAGCGTGTCCCTCACGGCGACTGCGCAAGACGACAGCTACACGGGAAAGAAGACATTCGCTTGCGTCTTGTGCCAAACGTTGATCGGCAACGAGGCCAGCGACTAACGTATGCTCAACCGTATGGGAGAAGTCAAGACCTCGACGGAATGCCCGGTGCCGTCTTCCTCAACGGTGACGGCGGCAGTTTGGTCGGCAAGGCGCAGCAACCCGAGAGCAGTGCCCAAAGAGCTGAGTCGTATATCCGCGACCTGGACGATGGGACAGGTTAACATGTGTCATGAGAAATTGCAAGTACGACAAGAGGGCGGGATTTGCTCTTGCACGCGTCTTCCACGAGACGGACCGAACCGAGCGGAAGATGAACAATAACAGTCCGGGGGGCCGTCCTTAAATGTGAGAGGATTCTGTCCTACAATATTGAAGACCTTCCCCGATATTCTCCTTCGTTAATTTCATATGCCTCGATCTGTATATATCGGTTGTTTGCCTCCATTATTCTTTTTGAAAAACTTTTTTTCATGCGCGCCGTGGCTTCTTTTGTTAAGAAGAACAACAGAAGAGTCAGGGAGTGTGCTTTTGTACCCAACTGTGTCCGTTTGTGTGTGTAGTTGTTGTGTGTGTGGAATCTCACGGTCGATAGAAACCGAGGGGATTTGACCCCATCTCATCAATAAAGGCACCAAAGTGAAATTCATGACTTGTAACCAACAACAATTCCATTCCCCGAGCTGTCACAATTGCTTCCCGCTTAACCTGTGCTCAGTTCTTCGAGCTTCCAATGCGTCATTTATTTGGAAACAGGTTCTCCCGACCGCTGCCGCAACTGTCGCGAGAGACATGGACGAGCGACTAGGGGGAAGGGAGACACAGACCAGGGAGGAGAGAGGCGGGAGGGTGTGACCTATACTACGCTCCTGTTTATGGACAAGAGAGCCATATGCCTTCCGTTCACCCCCTAGGGCAGCCTCCCCAAGTTGTGAGGAGGGAGGCTAGGCCCCGAAGCCCCCATAGAGAGGTTAGAAGGGAAGAGGAAGGAGGAAGAGTACATTATATTCAGACGTCAACAGAGGCTACAGTAAGGGAGTGGCTACAGCAGTCGAAACGGGCATTTATGCCCACCTGGACGGATATGTGACTGAACTCGAAGCAATCTACAAAGATCGCGACATGAGAGGACTGTACCAACACCTCAAGAGATCAGTGGGCCTCAGCGGGAGACAAGCGGGGGGACAGCAGTTCGTCGCGGATGAGAACGGCGTGTGGCTCTGGAACAGGGACGGCATCCTCCAACGGTGGGCGAGATTCTTCAGCACCCTACTCAACACCAAATCCCCCACCCTGAACCCAGACATCATCGAACGAGTGACGCAGCGGCCAGCGACACGTGACGCGCAACGGTTGGGAGAGGTGCCAGACCTCGAGGAGGTGGCACGGGCAGCGAAAGGCCTCAAGAACTGGAAGGCACCCGGCCATGACTCCCTCCCTGCCGAGTTGCTAGATCGATGACGACGAACCCGTTGTCCTGAGACACCTCCATACCATCCTCGTCAAGGTGTGGAACGGAGGAGATATCCCGCAAAAGTGGAAGGACGCAACCATCAAGGTGCTGTACAAGAAGGGTGACCGGTCC